ACATAATTACTTGCATTAATAAATATTAATTTAAATTTAAGTTATTTTTGTATTACTTCACTAAATGCAAAATTCACAAAAAAAAAATGGATTTTAGGTGCAAAATTATCAAATTTTACTTAATTTGAAATTATTATAAACAAACTCTATTAAACCCAGATCTTTATTATTATAAACACGGTTTTTAACAAATTGTAGATTGTGCATAATGATGAGCAGTTTATTGTTATTCTAATTTCAAACAGATAAAATTAAAATCTCACATGGATTTAACAACCTTTGAAATCAGGCGGGTTCGCCTTTGAGTGGGATTATGAAAAAAAATAAGTCGCCTCGCCTATTCACAACTCTCCGTGAACAATGTAGGCAGGCAAGGGATGAGCCGAGAGACACGTAGAGCACTGCCGGCTGCCTAACTCTCTGGTCTGGTGTCAGGTCAGTGGCTGCGTCGTGAACAAAGTTGGCGCGACGACGTAATTTGCATTCAAATGAGAACTCGCGCGCATTGCTATGAATTATTTACCTCTGGCATTGATGACGGCGGCACTACTAAAGGCAAAGCATCAAAGCGAGATGGATTGATAATGTGCGGCGCTGCACGTAGATATCAATTCAAAGGAAGACCTTTCCAAGTTCATGACTCTTCTGCCGGCGTGAATCGAGCAGGCTCGAATTTGCAGAAACTGATTTTGCCAGTGGAAACCAATCAAAGCATAAGGATGGTTGGGTTCCATTTCGAAAAGGGATCTTTGTGGTTTCAATTTTAACTTCTTGAAAGGCGGAATCCAAATAAGTTTTCTCATTTAATTTATATTTATAATTAAATAAAAAATCTGGGGAAAATGAAAACTTTCTATTATATTTTGTGAAATTTTATATATTTGTTGAAATAAAATCCGGCTTCCTCGGTGGAGATGAGCAACTTTATTGTTTCTGCATGGTGCAGAAAATCCCTGCTCTACTAGTTTCGGTTGCGGGTTGCAACCCTAATTCATGAGCTGTTAAAAATGACTGTTAAAAAACCCGCAACCGAAACTAGTAGAGCAGGGATTTTCTGTACCATGCAGAAACAATAAAGTTGCTCATCTCCACCGAGGAAGCCGGATTTTATTTCAACAAATATGACCACCTCGAGTGCCAAAAGGTTCCACAACAACAACTTCAAGAACCTATACAGAAAATTTTATATATTTCAATTCAAGGTGAATATATTTTTCATGAACAAATTTAAAAAAAAAAAAAGAGGAAAGTTATTTTAAAATTAAGTAGCTATTTTTAGCAGGAATTAAGTTTAATTAAATGATATTTGATTTTCAAAAAAGATGAGACACGGAAGTTAAAAAGTCTTTTTACCTTATAAAATACTAGTTAAAAATTGATTGGAAATTACAATTCATTGATTTAAGCATTAATTCTTTTTTATTTTATTTTTTTGGCAAATATGTCAATTTGTTTGAAGAAGTTGACACTCGAGGAGATGATCATGGAAATGAAGCGATCGGGCTTTTCCTCGTTGCAGAAAAATTGTTTTTATTAATAACAATTAAAACAATTTTTCTGCAACGAGGAAAAGCCCGATCGCTTCATTTCCAAAAATGTCAATATTTTTCAATGGGAATCTCAAATTAAAATCTAAATGAAACAATGCCAATCTCCTTAAAATTGTTTGATTCATACAAAAGTAAATCGAATGAAATGCACGAGCTTATTTTAATCCATCTGAAACGCTGGACTTAATTACAGCACATCATCCGTTGGCATTTGCAATTCAAACCTTGACCCGTCGAGCGGCTCGAAATGCAACTCTCCGCATTAATAAAACACGTACACGGCGCAGAACATAATGCACAAAAGCAAACGAGGCGCAAACTTTGTTTCTCTCGCAATCGTGTCCGTCCGGCTCTCAACTCGAAAAAAAAATATGGACTTTTTGTCTACATCAAACTCGTCCGAGTGGACAACAAATGGGCAGAAGCCACAATGTGTTTCAAAACTCGTCGTGTCGCGCCGTTTATTCACATTTGCATATTAATTACGGTGCTCGCGCACAATGGATGCGCCACCGGCTATTTTGTGCTTTCGCCGCGGACGTCCTCCGATGGAATGCGAAAGTGCAATTTCGCGGGCTGGCCCTCTGACCGTTCAATTAGCGCCCGGAACACATTCATTTCCTGAGAACAAGCTTCGGATGAAATTGGATTTTCCTCCGCAGGAGGTAAAAAGAGATTAAAAACAATTTTTTTTTATTAAATAAAATTTCCCGTTAAGTCGCTTATTTGCAAATTGCTTTAAAAACCGGCACTAGTGAATATTTCTTCAGTCTTTTAAATTTTTTACCATTTAAATACATAATTTCTGAAAAACCTCTTAATGCATTAACGTGGGAATTGTCTTGATCAGTTAAGTAGTTAAAAATAGTTATTTATTAAATTATTATTATTGTAAATCTTTTATTTTCCTAATAATGTTAAATTACAAATAGTACACTTTAGCAACTATTGAATGCAATTGACCAAGGTTAGATAAGTTTTACTTAATTGAATTATAAACTAAGCTATAATGGAAACTTTAAATTATAAATATCATTTAACTTAATTTAACTAATACTTTCTGCGTTTTAAGATTCCTTTTTGTATTAGAGTCGAAAAACAATGATAAATTTAAAAAAACAGTAAATTATATTTTCATTAAATTTAAAGGATAATAAAACAAATGTTAAAAAATAGGTTTAAAAATATGAGTAAGAATAACTACTTTTTTAAATTTGGTTTTAAAATTTAAAATAAAATCAAAAATATTTTCATTAATGAGTCGGTATGAAGTAGTGTGCACGTTTTTATTGGTTTTATTTTCAACTGTAATTTCGCGGGCTGGCACTTTTCATTAATTAGCGCCCGGAACACATTTGTTTCCTGAGAACAAGCTTCGGATGAAATTGGATTTTCCCCCGCAGGAGTAAAAAGAGATTAATGCAATTTTTTTCTTAAATAAAAATTTAAAAAAAGGTCGGTTATCTGCAAATTGTTTTGTTAAACATTAAAAATCGGCTCAAGTGATTTATTTCATAGTCTTATAATTTTGCTACCATTAAAATAAATAATTTCTGAAGGACTTCTTAATGAATTTATGTGGGAATTGTCTTGATCAGTGAAGAACAGTTATTTATTAAATTAATATTATTGCAAATCTTTTATTGTCTTTGGTGCTAAATTACAAATACTACGCTCCAATAACTCAGAATCAGAATCAACAAGTTTTACAAATGAATTATTAATTAAGACGCTAGGTAAACCTTAATTTATAATTATCATTTAACTTAATGTAAATATTAATTTCTGCGTTTAATGATTCTTTTTTGTATTGAAGTCAACAAACTTAATAAGTAAATTTAAAATAAAAAAATTAGTAAATAATTTTTATATTAATTATAAGGATAATTAAAGAAATATTTAATTATAAAAGTTTAAAAATATGAGTTTAATAACTACTTTTAATTTTATTTTAAAATTAATAATATTAAAAACGCATATTTTCTTATTTTAGTCGGTCTGCGCTATTTATTGGTATAATTTTGAACTGACTGGCACTCTGACCTCTGACCCTTCAATTAGCGCCCGAAACACATTAATTTCCTGCGAACGAGCTTCGAGTGAAATTGGATTTTCTCCCCCAGCAGTAAAAATTGAGTAAAAACAATTTTGTACGTCCGACGAACTTCTTAATGAATTAAAATCTGAAGGTGTGGAAACTGTCTTAAGAGGGTTTTACTCATTTTTATCTCAAGATTGCTCTATGTCAAATCATTTAAAATTTACTGAATATTTTAATAAACATAAGAAAAGCTAATATAAATTATTTAACATGCATTTTCCATGGAAAATTTCAAGCGCGTGGTAAACAGACAATTCCGCGTGCGTCATAAATCCGTCTGTGACCCACTTTGCCGTGATCTTGAAATATCGCCTGCGATTATGCAAATATCGGAAAACTGGAAAATCCCCCTTTTTCCGCAGCGAGCAAGCGAGAGAGACGCAGATTAAAAAGACCGGACTCGGACGAGGAGGAGGATTAAAGTGACGTCATAAGGAGCTTTTCCCTTGTACTCGCAGCGGCTCTCACAATTACACAAAGCACCGGTGCCTTGTTCACATTTGTCCTGAGTACAAATTGAGAGGCGGCGTGCGTGATTTTTATCAACGGCAGACGGGCGACAAGCAAACGATCGGATCGCGTGATTCCGTTTTATACATTTTGTGAATATCTCGTCAGTTCAATCTGAAACCAAAAGCTTGTTCACCGATTATTCCAGAAACCAAAGTTAAATAATGCCCAAAAACCAATTATCATTAGCATGTTAATTGAAATGAATTTTGCATACATGGGTGCGCTCAACAATTTTGCGCTCGCGCTCGCGATCACTGGCAACAATGCGCTCGCGCTCTGCGCTCAAGATCTTGAAAATGTTGCGCTCGCGCTCAAATTTTTAAAAAGTCTTGCGCTCACGCGTTGCGCTCAAAAATATTTTTATCCGAAGAAAAAGTGCGACTTTTTAGACTATTTTTTAATATAACAAAAAATACATCGGCAATTGGAAATGATAAAGTTGAAGTTAAATCACCAAAATTGGGATCAGTTTTGAAGTTTTTGGTATAAAAACACTGTTTTTCATTACAATTTTTGATCAAATTTGGGAATTTTTACTTTTGGTTTGAGCGCAAAATGAGCGCAATTGAGCGCTGCGCTCAGCGACCAATGCGCTCGCGCTCTGCGCTCGCGCTCACGATTTTGAAAATCGTGCGATCACAGAGCGCAAAGTGCGCTCTGCCCATGTATGGAATTTTGTGCCTCAAATTGTAATACAAATTTTAATTTAAAAACTGGTTTTAATAAACAAAATTTTTTGCAACAAGGGACAGCCCGACTCCTTCATTCCCTGGTTTTAATAATTTGTATTTAATTTAAATGAATTTCCAAAACGATTTTCCTTAACTAAGTGAACACGTGGTTCGAGAGGGTCAGCATGATGATCATCCTCTTCAACTGCGTCACACTGGGCATGTACAGGCCATGCATCGATGACGACTGCACCACCAGCAGGTGCAAAATTCTTCAAGTGAGTCAATTTTACTTAAAATTTCCTTTAAATTTTATTTATTTAAACCATTTTGATATAAAAAAGACTAGATGAAAAATATTGTATAAAAATGTCAAAAAAATAATAAATCTTTGTTAAATAATTTGATTTCAGACATTTTTGTACTCTACAATTTTGAACAAATTTAAATTTATTAGGTTTTATAGATTGTACGACTTTTATACATTCTTTAATTTCCACTAAATTTGAATGAATTTTATCGCAAAACTTTTTTACTGTTGCAGATATTCGACGATTTCATATTCGCCTTTTTCGCCATCGAAATGACCATAAAAATGCTGGCCATGGGTGTTTACGGCAAAGGGACGTACTTGGCTGACACGTGGAACAGACTCGACTTTTTCATCGTTATGGCCGGGTGAGTTTTTTTTTTTTTTTGCCGGTCGAACATTTAACGCGCGCTCCATATTAATCATCGCGGTGGCTTTTGTCTCCGTGACAAACAAACGGGTCCGAGCCCGAGGTAAAAAAGCGAGAGGGTGTAATTGGGCGTGCGTGAGACTCGCGGCGGCACCGACTCTGCTCGTCCTCTCGGTTCCGAGGAAGACACAAGCTCACTTTTGGCCAATCGATTCAGCCTGTTGCGTAAAACGAGGCCCACGAATCTAAGATAAACTCTCAAATTATTACTTACTCAAAAGATACATAATTATTTACTGACGGATACAGTTTTTTTCCAATAATGGAAATACTTCTATTATATGATATAAAAAAAAACTGTTATTAACATTACTAACAATTTATATCGTAATTATAATTTATTTTCATAATTTTACATACATTCATTAATAGCAATTTTATTTTGCTATTAATTGTTAAAATTATTCCTGGACATCATTATCTTTTCCATTGCTTATGTTTTCTTTATAGAAGTATAGTAGCTTAATTATAAGTTAAAATTTTAATTGTAGCTTTCTTAGTTGCTGCAAAAAAATTAATACAAAAATTGTAAGTTAAGAGAAATGTAAATAATAGGAGAACTTGCCAGTTTAAAGCAGGCTGTTTTTTTTATCGACTTTATTCATTATCAAGAGTTGCAGTCGTCCTGTTGCATTTTCTTTTCTGAAGCTTTTTTTATTCAAATTTTCTTGGCTAATGTAAGCCTTAACTACTTTTTTTATCATGTATGTTGCTGACAAAAGGCTATGCGTGGTCAATAAGCAAGCTGCCTTGGGACACATTTTTTTCAACAAGGACAAAGACAAAGCCAATCTTTACTTTCATGATCGTCGCCTCGCGAGCCAATTTCTTTAATAAAATATTGCATATTAATATAATAATTTAGTGTTTTAATGACGTGTAGTCAATATTTTCATGAGTTAAAGTTGTTCATAATTTTGTTTAAAGATAAGTAACAAACATAATTTAGTATTTATAAACGACGAAATAAGGCATGTGCTTAGTTTTGTTTTTTAACAATTTATATATAATTATATCGATGGAATCCTTGATTAATTAATAATTAAGTTAATCTATTTAAAAGTCTCAGCGTTTCAAAAAACCTACTTTTCATTGAAGTCAAATAATTATATTCATAATAACAATAAAAAAAATTACTGACTAAAGTAATTAAATAAAATATTATGTTTTATATAATAAAAATAAATATTAAAAAAAATAAGAATTAAAAATAATTAATGTTTTATTATTACAACTAATTTACTGAAGAGAAAGACTCCATAACAATTACTTGAATTCCTATTTTGCTTTGACCTAATTGTAAATGGGTGAATAGCGTCTGACGTGAGTGCACATTTTTAATATTACACCATAAGTTAATAAAAGAGTTGCAATAATAATAACGATAAATATAACTTCAATTATTAGCGAAAATTGCAGGAGCTCATTGGCACTTGAGATGTTTGTTGTAAACTTACGCAACTTGAATATTGATAGTCGTTTTTCAATTGAATTTTTATGAAATCCACCCCGGCGTTTTTTATATTTCATCGTAAAAAATAAATTGCACAAGCCTTTTTTCACTTCGAACATTGAGACTTAAAGCAACTATTTGAGGAAAAGCTTCTGTTATACGAGCTACAAAACGACCATGATTTCCCATGTTTATTGATTTGTATCGAAATGATAAATTTGTGCGCATTCAATTGATTAGAATGTGTGTTGCAGGGCGCTGGAATATTGCCTCAACGTGGAGAACATGAACCTGTCAGCCATTCGAACCATTCGAGTGCTTCGTCCTTTGAGGGCCATCAACCGTATTCCAAGTAAGTGTGCCGCGCTCTCTTTTTTCTTTTCCGACGAGACTTTTCCGCCGTCGCAATCTGACGGCGGAAAGGCGAGCCAGCGAGAGACATTGAGCGGTTTTGTCGGTCTCGCTAGCGAGGCGCGCCTTTCAATTCTATTGATTCGAGGTGTTTGCACGCTTCTGCACCACATGCAGCTTTGCACTCACACGCATCCGTCAAGCAGATTTTTAGTACTGTGAGTACAGATGAGCACTCTATGGCTCTCTCGGCAGAAAGAAATGATAAAAAAGCGTGTCAAGGCCGAGCTTTTTGCAATTGAAAAGATTTTTAAGAGAAAGAGTTATCAAGAAAGTCTTTAAATATTTTAGTTGGCAGCGCAAATGAATGTGAAGATTCTTCAACTGCACGATTTGCAAGAGTAAAGAAATCATTAAAAATTCAAAATGTTTCTATTGATTCAACTTCAGATTTTGAGTTTTCTCTAGTCTTACCAATTGAAGTGAATTTTTACAGCAAAATAATTGATCTTTTTATAGAATTGATCAGAAGGAAGTGGGCAAAAAATATTTGCAATACATTTTTTTTTTAGAAAATCTTATATCCGAAATTAAATGGTACCCCTCCAGAATTTTAAACCCTTTTTTTCATCTCCAACACAATATTATTTTCCAATTTTGATATATCCCATTACTTAAAATCTTTATTCCACATTTCTTGACAATTGATAATCTCCATGGAGATAAAAATTAATTTTAAATTCACTTATGCACTTTCAGTTTGGAGTTATTATATATAAATAATTTACATAAATAAAAATTTACAATAAAAATTGAAACAAATTGGCAAATAAGTTAAATAAAAAAAAATATACAAAATATAAATAATAAAATCAAATAATATTTTATAAAAAGGATCAATTTTATTTATAGTTTATAGATATGTTAAAAAAAATTTAAATTTTTAAAGTGCTATTTTAATATGGCAACAATTAAACATCTTTCTTATGCTTTCGTATTTATTTCAAACATAAGTAAAACAAATTATTGCATTCCTAGAGATAAATCAAACTGCTCCGCAAGTTAAACATACGTTTACGTGTTTGTTTTCGCTGAAGGAAGAAATAAGACATTCGCGCGCGAAATAAGTCGTGTGGGTGTCTCTTTATTTGCACAAGAGCGCGCATTTGCAATTCCTCCTCCCTCTCCGCGTGTGTGTCTGCTTTTTGTTTTACTTTAAAACAAGCGTCTTTCTCGTGGCGCAAATGGAAGATTTAACTAACCGTAATTCAGCCAAAGCAAACAAGCCGGCATCATAAAGAAAAACAAAAGTGAGCGAGAATTTTGTCCTAACCGCAGCAAATCGAATAAAAGCGAGAAAGGGTTCGTCGGACCGACGATTGTCTCGCCGAAAAATTTCCATCCGCAAAAAGCACTTTGTGTGTGAGAGAGAAAGAGGGGAAAGGGCTGGGAAATTAAGTAAAATTAAATATTTCTAGGTTGAAAATTTTTGTTTTAAAATTTACAGCTAAGAAAGTTGAGGAAAATCTTACAAAATGTCAAGTTCAATGATTTATACCACATTTACCCCCAAATTTGAGCTAAATTTTTTGCAATCTATGAACTTTTTCAGACACAATTTGCTGTTTTTCTTTTTTTATTAATAATTTAGATTTGCGTTCTTAAAATGAATTTATTCCATAAATAAGCAAAATTTAACTTTCCAAAAAAAAATATGATTATTGATCTAAAACTTTCGTTTTCAATTCGTTTTGACTAGAATTCCCAGCCCTATAGAGGGGATTTTAAAAGAGTGGCGTGACGAACGTTCTTTTTCCATCAACAGCTTTTCCGAGCCAAATAGGATTTCTCGCCGGGGCTTTCGAAGCGTGGCGTGTTTTGACAAAATTCACTTGTTGACCGGATAGACGGAAAAAAAGAAGCGAAATTGGCCTAATCCCTCCGAGCAGCTCCACTTTAATAAAAACTCCATCTCGGGGTGTTGACGGCGCTTTCGACAAGACACACTTTTCTGTATTTAGCACCTTTGCCTCCTCCGCTCAATCATGCCCCTGTCAGACGCGACCTGCTCGCCCGATAACAAGCTGCCAATTTCGCCGCCGCACGTGAATTTATAATAAGAGGAGACTATTAAGTCGCCGGCTGATTAATTCTCCCGCGAGTTCTTTACCGAATAGAGAAGGTGCATGGCAAAGCCCTCTTGACTTGATTGCGGTTGATTTAGTTGCGAAGTTTGACTCATCGCCCCGAGGTGCGAGTGACGACGACGCGATTACACCACATGAAAGAGAGAACCTCTTTGTGGATATCGGGGGAATGAGAAATAAACTTTATTAAAAATGTCAAAAGATCTAAACTTTGGAAGTGTTAATGCTAAAAAATTTAAAAAAAGAATATCAAACCTCTTGAAAACAAAAAATCCGCAAGATGTTTGAAGCTTTTGTAAAAAAAATTAATTGCAAATCATATGGGCCTTTGGAGAAATTTTTTTCGGGAAACCAATCATTTTGAGTTTCACATATGTTGGAGGGCTTTTAAAAAGGAATTGTTTTCCAAAATTTTGGACCCCAAAAATTTCGACTTCCCCGTTTTTTCGGGACATTTTGAAAACATTTAAAACGTGTATAACTCTGCAACCGCGAATGCTAGAGTGATAAAAATTTCACCCCTTTGCGTAATTTTTTATGCCGAACAACTTTTCTGTTGAACCAAAAGCTGTAGGTCAAAGGTCAAGGTCACTTTTAAGCGATTTTATGATTTTTTTTCAGTAAAAAAGTCCGTTTTGGGGGATGATGGTCCCTTTTGATTTTTTTGCAGGTATAGGAAAAAATGTAGCTCGTGTAATTTTACATATACCACTCAATTTTCAGAGTAGTTAAATTTTTAGTTTTCTCACAAATTGCGTCCGAAGTTATAAAACCGGGCGAAAAAGCCACAAATTTCACATGAGCTGAAATAAAAAATGAACCAAATTTGTTTATTTTAATATATTTGAGAACCCTGACATCACTTTGAACTGAAATGATTGTTATTTCAGAATTTTGTAAATAAATGGGAAAAATTGTTTTTTTTTCGGTTTTTTAGTCAGTTTCCTAACTTTGGACGCAATTTGTGTGAAAACTAAAAATTTAACAACTTTCAAAATTACGTGTTATATGTAAAATTACACGACCTACATTTTTTCTATACCTGCAAAAAAATCAAAAGGGACCATCATCCCCAAAATCGGACTTTTTTACTGAAAAAATCATAAAAATCGCTTAAGAGTGACCTTGACCTTTGACCTACAGCTTTGGGTTCAACAGAAAAGTTGTTCGTCATAAAAAATTACGTCATGGGGTGAAAATTTTATCACTCTAGCATTCGCGGTTGCAGAGTTATAAACTTTTTAAAGTTTTTCAAAATGTCCCGAAAAAAAAACGGGGAAGTCTAAATTTTTGGGGTCCAAAATTTTGGAAAACAATTCCTTTTTAATAGCCCTCCAACATATGAGAAACTGAAAATGATCGGTTTCCTAAAAAAAATTCCTCCAAAGGCCCTGAGGGTACTCTTGGAAATGCCCATATTTTATTTTAATTTTAAATTGTAAAAATTATTACAGTTGAAAACTATTAATTATGAAGAAAATTCGAAAGATGAATAGTAAAAAGTAGATTATTTAGTAAAGCAAAAGTCGTTGGTTCTCATTTTTTCCCTCAATAATTGGGGAACTTTTGTAGATTTGATGGGTCAACCAGTTTCTCTGCAAATTCCAATAAATGGCTGAATTATGTGACGGAAAAATATATTACAATCCGTTCTTTATTAAATTTTTATGACATTTTGCCCATTCTTGTTTCTGCAGGTATGCGCATTCTGGTGATGTTGCTGCTCGATACGCTGCCCATGTTGGGCAACGTTTTGCTGTTGTGTTTCTTCGTCTTCTTCATCTTCGGCATCGTCGGCGTGCAACTGTGGGAAGGAATTCTGCGGCAGCGATGCTTCTTGAAACAGCTGCCCAACATCAGCTACCCGCAGTGAGTGCAATTTCTCCACTTTTTCATTAGAATTAGAATCTTAGGCAGATGATTTTGATAGAAATAATACTGGATTTTATACCAAACTCGACTAATTTTGCAGGAGTCTACCAGATTTTTACACAATGAGGGTGAAAGTGACGCTGTAAGGGTATTATATTGATTTAGGCATGTGACCCTCGCTGACCTACTAACTAATCTCTCTTCCGACTACTAATTTCCGTCTTCAGCCAGAAAAAAGCTAGAGACCTGCCAGACTAATTTCTTGTTTCGTGCGTGTGAATTTGTATGCGTTTTTTTTTTGTGTGTATGTTTGTTTCAGACTGAAAACTCTCGCAGAGTGGAATTTTTTATCTTTTCATTCGGAGAAACTTTTCTAATCTCATTTTTATAAAAGTTGGCCAATAAATAAAACCTAATCTTTTCAGAGCATGTCTAATATCGCCGTGATTCCTTCTTTTGCTTAAATAATGACGCGCGATTCACTTGCGCGAAACTTTCTCCGCCGCGACGTTGATAAATTATCTGCACATCCGAATGTCGGTTAAAAGCAGAGGCTGCTGCTTTTTCCAATTGCGCTTCATTCATCATCTCGGCGCGAATGTCGTTCCCGCGGATTTGACGATGCAATCAATTTTAACCCTCCATTGCTAAACACGGGACACTGCTGAGGGTGGCAAAATATTTTTCATTCAAAAACAGTCATTTATGTTATTTATGTTGCGGTAAAATGAATTGTGTATTTCTAAAGGAAAAATCTGCTCCGTTTGAAATTCTTTAAAAAATAAATCTCTCTTTTATTTTCGCAAAATAAAAGTAAATAAAATAAATGCTTTGAATTTCTTCCATAACCGTTAAAGATTAACTAAAATATAAAATATTGGCATAAATTTGCTACAGTTCAAAATATTGAAGACACAGCAATTTTTTATTCATTTAATTAATCAGTTGCCTAATTGTAAGAGGGCTTTTAACTTTTTTTTTTTAGTGATTTTTATTTCATTGAATCATTTTGCTTGGAGGAGCAAGTCAATTTTTAACGAAAATAACGTAAATAGTTGGTGCTAAGAAAATTATAAATTTTTTATCCCAAAATTTAGCTGATTTTACTGTTTCTTTACATCTTATTTATTTGATATTGCTTAATAATGTGAATGTTAATTATTTCAAATAATTATTTAGAGGTTGAAATTGAATTTCAGAAATTCATATTATATATTTATTTATTTATTATTTATTTATTTATTATATCTTTTTGTTAGGAAAGAAATATTTCTTTTTAGGATACTTTTTTATTCCGAGGAAAATAAACTTTTATCCTGCGACATAATAAATCACAGGAACACTATTTGCAGGTGCAATGCGCGTGACGGTTTAATAACCTCGGCAGACGTTAAATCGCATTTGGCCGCAACAACAGCAGAAATTAATTACCCTTGGCGCGGCCGAACAAATGCAGGCAAAGTGCATAATCCCCTTTATTATATGCAGCGCAGTAATGGAGTTTGATTGGTGCTGCGGGATGCAGCGGCAGCAGGACCGACCGATTGCCCTGTAATTAATCAGCAATGTGCATCCAGCCGCAGCTTGATAAATCGCCCCTTGCATGCGACGATAATCATTGCGGCCTGATTAAGTAATAATCAGCTCGGCTGATTCAATTTATTTCTGCTCGTTGGAGTTGATGGATCGCCTCTTGAAATGTAATACCGCGTCGTCTGGCCCCAGCTATTTCGGGACGCGTGTTCTTTGCTTTTGAAAGAAGAGAACATCTTTGACAATATTTGACTGGAAAATCGATGTCGCTCCGTAATTGGAGGATTTCACCCAAAATGATGGTCAATTTTCTCACTTATCAAATTCTATTTTTCGGACTCATAATTTTACTAAATTTAATATTACATATATTTTTATGAAGAATTTTAACGAAATTACTTATTTAAATATTTTTATTTTATTTATTGGCGAAAAGCTGTAATGCAACCCACTTGAGTGCTGTTTTTGTAATGGGCATAATTTTTTTTATTTAGTTGTAAAAAGTTATTTTCGATAATGGATGCAATTTTATTGATTTTTATGAAGTAAATTTTGTCGATGAACACTAGCAATTTTTGCTTTTCCCATGAATTCTTATCAAAAGCCCAATTCTTTACCTAATATTTTAAAGATTTTTTTAAAAAACGTTTCATTTTCCATGTTAATTTATGAAATAGAAGTTTATTTATTTATTTATTCTCCATTCAGATACATGAAATACACAACATCTTACATCAAGTCAATACACAAAAATTAATATAAAATACTGAAAAAGAGAAGTTTTAGTTTAAATGATCTCGCACCGTATAAATCATATCATACTGCTGTGTAGCAACTGTTTGTTTGTACAATTCAAGGAAACGCACGATTTTCCTCCAGTCTCGTCGTCGTTCTTCATAATACAACTGTTGAAAGCACTTGAAGCGGAATACTTACGTCCCTTTCCGTTTCTAGTTTTCTTTGGCACGCAGCCCGCTGTGCGACACAAAATTTCCCTCCACGTACTCAAATCTGTCGTTCCCACTGTTTCTCTCTGGCTGCAAACAAACAAACAGGCAAAAGCGGATCAGAATATAGACGCTTCCGAAAGAGAGATGTCTATCTGAAGGCCCGCATCATTTTGCACCCCGCCAACCCTTTCCTATATCGAATGAATGAGAATCTCCTCTCGAACGGAAATTTCGATGCCAACATAATTTTAGGCTGGATTTGTTGTCACCCGATCGCGGACCGTCAAAAGCGAATAAATTTCCTCGCCCTGAATGCAGACTCACCCGCACCACTCGGAAATTGGAATTTCAAACGATTCTCACGTTGGAGGATGACTTATGGTTAGCTCAAGTGGATAAAATATTACTTTTTCTTACATAAATTAGTTTATCAAGAAAATTTAATTTAAAATTTATTGTTTGAAATTTAAATTTCTTTTTATTTATATTATCTTCTGATCCTGCCTTTTTATTTGTTTTTAAAACTTCTCTAATATTTTCTGGACAATGAACGTCTGAAAATGTGGAACAAAAGAATCGATTTTGAGACGCAATTGTGTTCTTTGAAAACAAAGCGCACGTGCGAGCAGCAAGAATAATTAAAAAGTTGTGGCGCTCTCGTGTAATTAACAAAAACAAGTTTTGTGAGTTATGCCCAGGTGAATATCATAATGAGACAGAGTGACGCAAGAGAGAAGGCCTTTTGGGAACGCGCCACGCAGAAACACACACAGGTGCGCAGCCTGAATGTCAGCAACCCGCCCGACCGCCCCTCGCCGCCCGCCGCGCTCCTCCTTGCATTCAGAAATTAATTTAATTTTTGTCTCTGCTCGACGCGCTGTGTGTGTTTTAATAATGACTCGCGACGACGCTATGCGAAAACCGGAATTTATTTCCGTGCCCTCTTGAAATATACAAAACCGCGCAACGGCGCGACATTGATCCTGCTTCACAAAAATAAAACATGTAAATAAATAGAATTATACAAGTGGCGAAGATTGTGATATTTTTGATGCAAATATATTTGCTGTTTTTCTACCCTATTTTATAAGCATAAATTATAAAAATGATAAAAATAATTAAAAATTAAAAAATGTTTATTATATCCGTATTGAATGGTAACACTCGAGGTAGTAGATTACTGTGATTTTGCCAGAAAAGTCTTTTGGTTCATTGCCCTGGAAATTTCTGCCAAAATCACAGTATGAAGCTGTTGACTGACTCTTTTGCTTAATTAATTTCTGCAAGTTTTGTTTATTAAAATTAAATTCTCCCATTTTATTTTTAATTTTTTATTTATTCCTCCTACTTAGTTTTAGTTGGGACAAGACAAAACCCTAGGTTTTTAAAGTACCAGCAGACCGCAGGTCGCCCTTGGGGTCAGTTGTCCTTTATTTTTTCATTTTTTCTTTTCAACAAGGTTTGCCCGGTTTTAATTATCCATATTTATGTTTATAATTTTTTATTTATAATAGTTATTTTTATTAATATTTGCTTTTATATTCAACATTTTTATAAATATTTATTTTTATGTTTATTATATGTATTTAATTGATTTCATACTTAATTATATTTAAATTTAATATTTTTATATTGTTTAAATATGGAAAAGTTTTATTAAATTTAATAAATCTGCTATTCAGTGTCTGTGAAATTACTCGCTTGGGTTTGATATCAGATGCTTTATTTTCAAATTGAGCATAATAAAGATTTTTCAAAATCCCATAGAGCCTTCACCTGGGCTCTACGTAATCCGCCACAGAAGAAATGTGTTTCACATTAGCAGATAAGCCCTATTTTTGATCAACACCTTGACACTTTTTCAATGCCTTCCACTTGACCCTGAGTAAAAAAAAATCGACCAACAAAAGAAAGCAAGAAATGCAAAATCGAAACTTATCAATCAGAGTGCCAAAGTGCTTCCCAGGGCCATTAACACGCAGGTCACGCTAACAAGTCATTCACAACGTGTTAACTTCGTTTGAAACACCTGCTTTTTTGAAGCAGGCAGGAAATTAATAGAAATTTTTGCTCTTTTTATTAAAAATTTTTGTCATATTTTTGCAGGACAAGGGAAAATGTTTGTGTTGTGCCTTTCTTGTGTTCGGGAATTTCCTGAAACGCTTTTCCAGCTTGCGAATGACAAAGGAATGGAGCCGTTTTTGTCCCGACTGCTGCAAGACTGAGCTGTTTTCCGCCCTTTTTCTGCTCTTTTGTGTCCGACTCTGTCGCTAACTAACCAAACAATAATAGCTGCGCTGTTTTCCGGCCACCGCTCGCTCTCTCTCCTTTCAGCAGCATGCTTTGTGACTCTCGAGAGCGGTCCAGTTTATCTCGCAACTGATTGCCGGCGATTAGGCATGATTTAGCTCTGGCAGCTTCTATAGCTCTCTGTGTCGTCGCGTGACACGGACGACGTGTGTCCCTCTCACGTGTGCTGTTTACTTTTCGACAAGGCCAAAATGCAACATCGTAGAGAGGCGCAAAGATTAATTACACAGTCACAATAAATTGCAGAAGTATCGAAAACAGAAATTATTTTAAACTTGTGAATATTCAGTTAATAAGCAACATCTGCAAAATATTTTTATCTATGAATGCTCTCCACAAATTAGTTTAAAAACTTGAAATTGGTCATACATGAAATATCATTTTTATTTTTGGAGGATAATAATTTTTGTTTGTTTTTATTTCAGTAAATCATAAAAAAAATCGGCTGGGGTTTGAAATTTAAGAAAAATTCCATGTCAAAAAAGTAGATTTAATGTAATAATTTTTAAAGAACCACTCCGGTCATTTGTATTGCTCTTTATTCTGAAAAATTGCTTAATTACGAGTTTATCTTGTGAAAACACTATTTGAAAATTCCAAACCGTTGCGTCTCAATCAAAAGAAAACATAAAAACGAGTGATTCGCGCGAAAAACGTGTGAGAATTTAGTAGCCAATCAGATCCATCAGTTTGTTCCAAAAACTGCAGGATTTGGCCACATTGGCGCTGCGATCGTTGATTTTGCCAAGTTTTCTGCACAGCGCCGTGGGGCATTAGTGGCAAAATCAGCGATTGCAGCGCCAATGTGATCAAATCCTGCAGTTTTTGTACAAAACTGATGGATCTGATTGGCTACTCAATTCTCACACGTTTTTCGCGCGAATCCCTCGTATTTAGGTTTTCTTTTTATAGAGTCGGAACCGTTTGGAATTTTCAAATAGTGTTTTCACAAGATATGCTTGAAATTAAGCAATCTTTCAGAATAAAGAGCAATACACTTGACCGGAAAGGATCTTTAAATGAATTGTTTTGCGTCTCTCGACGATCAATTCCTAACCGTGTTTGTCCCCCCATCTTCCATATTTGGGGTGAATGTAAATTTCACATCGCGTCCATTCTTTAATTTCGACTTTTCCGTGCAGGCCGCTGTCCTCGTACTACCGGTACCTGGAGCAAGACCGCGACTACATCTGCTCCAAGCCCGAGGACAACGGGATGCACCTGTGCTCCAACCTGCCGCCGTATCGGCACAACGGCATCGAGTGCAACGGCACGGCGCTGCCCTTCAGCAACAACTTCCCCACCAACTCCAACTGCGTCAACTGGAACCAGTACTACACCGAGTGCAAGAGCCAGGGCAACAACCCCTTCCAGGGCGCCATCTCCTTTGACAATATTGGACTTGCATGGGTCGCCATTTTTCTTGTAAGTTTAAGTGAAAAATTAAGAAAAAAAATCTTTTGTTCCCTGTTAGAAAGTCGTGGTTTTTAAAACTTTAAAAGCAAAAGGTTTTCGGTTCAAAAGTAAAATCCTCCTTTATTAAAAAAATTTTATTATAAATAATTCCTCTTATATTTACTAAAAATAAGAATTTTTGCTAAGAGATTAATGTGATTTCAGGTGATTAGTTTAGAGGGTTGGACGGACATAATGTACTATGTGCAGGACGCGCACTCATTTTGGGACTGGATTTACTTCGTCCTCCTAATTGTGGTATGTATCAGAATTGATTAGAAAGTTTTTTAATTTTCTCTTTCCTAAATCTCAATTATATTTTTGAACATTTCCGAATGACGCTTGGGGATTTGGCAAAAATACTTTTATTATTATTATTATTTATTATTACTTAATCTTTAATCTTATTCTAAGATTTGAGTCAAAGTGGGTGTTTTTCGCCTATGAAACCTCCACTTTTTGGGGGCGTGAAAAATAGCCGAAAGGTTTAATTTAGAAAAAAATTCAGCGTATATCTTTTTATGCTGAAAAACTTTGCTATTAAATTCGTGGGAAAATGTCTATTTCTGGATCTTATAAATTAACATAAATTTGAATAATGTGGAGTTCTGGAAAAAATTATAGATTGTGAAAATTTATATTGGCCCTGTAATTTTCAAAAGGGTAATTCCGTGTTCTTTCATACATACTGAGGAAACTCATTGAGAGGTTTACAAAGGAAGAAAGACCTAAATTTCGCTAAATTAAAATATACCAACGACAAATGAAGGGAATTTTATGTTTTCATATTGGTAATATAGCTATAATGGTAATTTTTTCCGGTCTTGAGAAAATACAGGTTAAACAAACAACAAAAACGTATTTCCTCTATAAGCATAATTATTTTTTGATCAAAAATTTTAAAAACTCTAAAAATCAATCATAACCACTTCATCCCTCAAATATATGTGATTCAAATAATCAAAACTTATTTCATAATTATTGATTTTCCTGATAATTCTCACTCAGAAATGCTCTTAAGTAATTTTATTTACTTTCTATAACAACATAACAACTGTTAAAAATTATGATTTTTATTCATAATATAATAATAATATTTTTACTTACTGATGACTCAATCTTTCATACTTTTCCACTTTTTTTTGCCATTTAACGTCAATATTTACTGATCTCGAACTGGATTTGGTTGTGCAGATCGGCTCGTTCTTCATGATCAACCTGTGCCTAGTCGTGATAGCGACGCAGTTTTCCGAGACGAAGAAGCGCGAGATGGAGCGGATGCGTCTGGAGCGGGCGCGATTCCACTCGTCGTCGACGCTGGCCAGCACGCAGAACTCGGAGCCGACCACGTGCTACGCCGAGCTGGTGCGCTACACGGCGCACCTGTGGCGCAGGGCCAAGCGCCGCATCATCAACCGCTACCGGCTGTACCAGTGCCGCAAGCAGCAGCAACACCAGCAGCTGCCCAACGCCATCCAGCACCCGCCCTTGTCCTTCCAGCCCTGCGCCAGACACGCCGAATTCGTGTAAGTGCAATTAGCATTGAAATCACTTACAATAATTAGTGCATGATTGGAGTAGTTTTTTTTAATTCACTCCAGTAAAATGATTTATTAAGACCAAAGTAGGGTGTAAAATTATCATCGTTTTAATTATGATTTTAACTTTTTTGTAGCAAATACACTTACTGGCTTCATTTTGCAATTGTAATGATTAACTATTAACATTAATATTAATAATTTAAAGAACAACTGCTAAATTTGTTATCAATAATGAAAATAAATGATTAAACTTCAAATTATTTACCAAACTTAATACATAATTTTTTATGATTAAACCTTTTAATAATATTTTACAATATTTTATATTTATTTTGAATCGCACAAAATAAAAATCCTTTTGTAATGAAACTAACGCATTATCAGCTATTTAAAATTTATATATATTGCCTTCACCTGATGTGTAATGAAACATAAATAAGCATCCTTAGATAGGTGTTGCGTAAATATGGTTATCTTCAGAAATAAAATATTAATAATTATTAATATATAAGAAATTAAAACAAGTAATAAGTATGGTTGTGAAACTTAGACGCTTTTTATCCCTAAAATAGTCGACTTTTTTTAGACACATTTTTCATAAAAAAAGACTGTTTTTAGACGATTTTTATCCAATTTGTTAGACGGTTTTAGACTGTTTTTCCAAGGTTGAAAATTTGGCTTGTAAAAAAAGCTGTAAAAATGATTTAATGGATGGGCAAAAAATTCGGTTTTAAAGCTTAAAACAGTCGACTATTTTAGTTCATATTTTAATTGAAATAGTCGGCTTTTAGTTGACTTTCCAGCCAAGTAGTTGATTAATAGTCGCTTTCAATTTTTTTGTTCTTTGGGGCTGCTATGGGGGGAAGGCGTAAAAATCACTGTTCACCAAAACTAGCTAGAAATGCTCAGAATGACCTGTCCGAGATTTGTAGATGGTCGCCAGAAAAACCATGAAATTTTTTCCAAGTCTTGAGGGTGGATCTAGGGGTGAGGGGGTTAGAAGTTGGTTAGTCGCTTTGCCCATCCCAAGAGATAGAGATGCCACTTCAACAGCAAAAAATCAATTGGTTGCGCGGTAAACAAAAATCTTATGAATATTTTGTACACCAGGAGACGAAATGGTGAGTTTTAGACACTTTTAGACTGTTTTAATCGATTTTTAGACGCTCTTAGACGGTTTTAGACGATTTAAAGTGGGTGTCAATCTTCTTGAAATTTCACGATTCGTGCACATTTGATGAATTCAGGCCAAACCAAAGCCCACAAAAAAATAGTCTATCGTCTAAGTTTCACAACCCTATAGTAATAAGTTATTTTATGACTAAATCATAATATAAATCGACAAATTTGATCAAAAAATACTTAAAAATGGATGAATAAAGATATATCAGAAAGACTTTATATAACCAACAAAGTCAAAATGTATAAAGATTTTACAGATTTTAGAACCCCGCTACTCTAGGGCCTGTAGGCTTTACCTTTTTAAATTTTTGTTTAGATTTTATGATTTAAAGAAAGAAAATGATGAATGATTTTCAATTATTGAGAATGATCTGATTTTATTTCAAGTAGTTTGCTCGCGTAGTCAAAGAATAACCGTTTCAGTTGCAGGCACGGATTGAGTCGGAAGAGCCAGGCCGGCCCTGGTCCGCCGCCGCCACGCGTCCTGGAGCACGAGGAGGCGGGTCGGGGGCCGCCCGTGTGTCCCGTGGGGCCGCGGCCGCCTGACAACGAGCCGGAACTCAACTCGCCACCACCGAGTCACGCGCCCAGGGCCAGTCCTGAGGTGTCGGACATCGACCCTGTGTCCAGTCCAAGGGTCAAACACGTCAGCAGCGGCGGCGGCGGCGGCCTCCTCAGGGTGCCTTCGTTCAACGGCGGCTGGGAAGGAGAGGTAAAGTTTTTCTTCAATATTTATGCGCAGACATGAAATTTTTAGATTCAAAATAATTGGAAACTTCGGTTTTTGAATTATATTAATTTAAAAAAAGAAATTAAATGCGTTTAATAAAAAGTTTCTTGGTTTTTTTTTACCATAAATGAAATAATTTTTTCTATTTTGAGATATAAAATATTTTCTATTAAAATTGAGAATTGAAGAATTACTCCTGTGAAGTTCAATTTATAATTAATTTATTATTATTATTTATTCTTCTCGGTCAATTAATAAAAAGAAAAGTTATTTTCGTTTTGTTGTAAATAATTTGATTTTCCTGTAAATTTTTCGATTATATTCGGAACAGACTCGGAATATTCCATTGCAATTTTCTAGTTTTATTTTATTTCTCCCCAGGGTGGAGGAAACGGCGGGGGCCTTTTGTCCCCTGGCAACGGAAGTGCGGCGTCGCGGAGGCGCAGCAGCGTCATGTTCAGCGACGTGGTGATGCTGCACGATGACCAGGGCAGCACCAGCAGCGCCCCCGGGGTCACAAAGAACGTCTGCTCAAGCGAGAAAATGACCCAGGCTGGCGACGGCAACATCCACTCGTGGAGGGGCGGCAGGGGATTCTCAGCGGTGAGTCTCCATTCAATCTCTTACCTGAAAATTTCAATTGAAAATTAAATTGCAAATACAAATTTTTATAAAAGTTATTTTCTTGAAAATGGTTAAATATTACTGCCTTTTTTTATTAATGTTTTGGCTGAAAATTTAATTATTTGATACTGCAAAACTTCTTTTTTTCCTAGTTTGGAATTCGGAAATTACAAAGTTTTAGTTTTGGGATAAAAAGTCAAAAATAAATCAGGAATCAGAAATAAATAAATAAAATAATCTAATATAAATTTTTTGTTAAAATACAAATTTAAATAATTTTCCAAACTATCCTTTTCACCAAATTGCTCTTTTTTCACTATTTATCTAATTATTTTAAATTTTTATTACTTTTCCATCTCGATAAATTCATGCATTCATGTTTCTTTGTAAACCCGAAGATGAAAATAAACTTGGATGACAACATTATTCTTATGAAAGGTTGCAATAAGTAAAACATTTTACAACCTAGCCTTGTTGATATGACACTTGCCGCAAAGTCCTTATCACCGATTTTTTATTTTCTCTACACTTAACCCTCGTCGGTGGGACAATTTAAAGGAGCGCTCGTTAAATCCAAAGCACTTGAACTAACTTTCGAGCCGACGCTTTCGTCACACAAGTGCAATAATAATAATAATATTCTAGAGAGCACCAAATAATAATCTTCATTTCATCTGCTCATGCGAATAAGCAGTCTCTGCTATCGATTATCGCAGCAAAAAGCGTTTGCAAGTTTAAAGTTGGTGGCGCCGCGCAAAGTGGATGAATTATATTCAAAAGAAAGAAGCAAAGAAGTGGGTTAATTTGAAATATATTTTTCCAGTTGACTGGTTTATTAGCCAACGAGATTCGCTTGCATGAATAATTTTATTCTCTTTCTGCGATAGGAATATAAAATATACCGACTGGGCTGTGAATTATTAAAGTCGTAAATATACAAGCGCGCAACGAATCGTGAAAGATTTTGCTCAAATATTTTATATTTTTATCTTACAATTGAAAATATAGAAGCATTAAAATTTTCAAATACGATCCCAAATAATGCTTCAGGGGCCGTTTTATAAATGTATATGTTATTTATTTGAAAAATTTAACTTTAATAATATATATCTCAATCTTTTAAGTTTTATTTAAAATTGTTTTTTTATTTATATATTTTAAATAAAATTAATTATTTGTATATTTAAATTTTATTTGTTATTTTAATTATAGAAAGAAAATATTGCTTAGTTTTTGTATAATGTTTGGTATTTTACTAGAAATAATTATTTACAAAAAATTATTTATTGTTATTCGATAACCTACTATATATATTTGTTTTAAATTGATCAAAATTACTATTAAACTTTTTTGTCTGAGTTTAATCCAAGATTGAAAGAACCGTAGTTTCAGTTGGAACTAAATATTTTATTAAATAGAAAATCTTTTGCTGCAATTCACATTTGCTTATAAAAATGTTTTGGTTACAAATATTCATATATCTATCTATATTTCTCTTGAATTTTTCTTTTGCCCAAAAATAGGTCATGTTTACAAGCTGCTCTTCTTTGCTTACCCTCAAGAGTAGCAAATTAATCAGATCGGCAGTAATTAGACCGCAGCAATTGCAACCAGGCTTTCGTAGGAAACCACTTATGAGTGCACATTTCACACCCAATCAAGGATTAACCGATGCCTTCAGATTACAAAACACGCGTTTCAAATCCTGCTCTTCACGGTGAAATGAGTGCAATCAGAAGTTTGCACCGCGGCTCTCATTTACAATCCGATGTGCCCCAAATAGAAACGCACATAAAAACACACGTGCTCGTTTTTCTCAATTGCACTTTTCCTCCCCCAAGTAGCCTCGAGCGAATTTTTTCACATATCTAGGACGGCTTTTGAAAATAAATCCATGTGTGCAACTTATTATCAAGGGCGAAAATAATCGATGAACAGCTCTCGCGGCAACAAACAATTGCCGCTTTTTGCATATTTTAAAGAGCTCGTTTCATGCCGATGGGAAAAGTTTTGCCTTTAGTTTTTATGGCGCTTCCGAGTGAAATACAGTTTTTAACCCCGTTAACCGCACCATCTGCTCGTGGGAAAATCGCTTCAAATTTGCAATGGAAATTAACGCAAATTAAAATTTTAATCGCTCCATAATTCAGTTTCGCTCAAATTTGCTCCAAAGATTTATTTAAAGGAAAAATTTTTTTAGATCTTTTCTTATTGCTTTTTATTTTTCATTAAAATAAAAGTGTAAAGATTTATGAATTCAACGAAAGCAGGGTTTGGAATAAAATTAATGCTCACGGTGGTGTTTTTGATCTTGGACGTTTTAGCTGCAAATGATGTTTATGTTGCTAATTTTGATGTCGTTTTTTTCACAAGAGCGCAGAGATAATTTTTCAATAAAATAATTTTTTTTAGATTTATTGTAAAATATGAAAGGTAAGAAAGATTTTATGATAGATTTTGAAGATTTTATCAGGTCTTTTCAAAGAGAATTAATTAAATTATTAACTTTTGACTAAACGCCTTTTACGTGGAATTAAGTTCCGAGACGCGAGATATTGAGACAAAACCAGTCCGTTCCGAATATTTATTTAAATGGGTTTCAAATTCTCAAGAATCAAGAGATTTTCGCTGTTAATATTTCTAAAAAATTGCATGTTCACGTGTTGTATGCAATTTTCTAGCACAAAATTTAAAATTTATTATTTGCTTTCTTCCGTTTGTTCAAATTTGGTTGCAAGTTAACTGATGACGGGTTTATTTGTACATTTGTGAGACTTTTAAGGTTTATCCAGATGGTAAATTTGAAAAATTTATTGAAAAAGTTTATAATTTAATAATGAAATGTATTTTTTTTTCTTCACAATTCAATAAATTGAAACATACATTAATCAAAAAGTAAAAAGCAATAGAAAAGAACGAAAAATAGGCTTTTAATTTGATCTGAAGCCAATTTGATGATCAAAAAAGTGAAAACGCACGTTAAAATTAATAAAAAAAGTCAAGATTCCTTAATTATTTCTAAATTTTATTGCCAAAAAATCCAATCTGCAGGTTTTCCGACCCAAACACTAATTGCAAACTCTCAACACACTCCATTTGCCCAGAAAAAAATAAGGCCCTGGCACAAATGTGTCTCTCGGCTGAAACTTTTCCTGGAGTTTGTTATTTCGAGTGCCAGTAAGTGAGGCGTGCGATTGTTCCGTTTGTTCGCAGCAAAGTTCGTTTGACGCTGGAGGGCCGGCCTATCAATTAGACCTGCATCGCCAGAGCACAATATCCGCGCCGGCCCCAATGACTTGTCAAGAACTTTTGGCCCTCAGCGGCGCCCTCAGCGCCGCCCTGCCCACGCAACTCGCCCTCGACTCGCGCCACGTGCACTCGTTCTTCTCGTCCCTCAGCAAGGGCGACCGGAGACACGTGTCCGCCCCTGCCGATCTCCAGACCGACCAGGTGCGTTAGCAGCGAAAATTCATTAAAGGCCAATAAAAAAAAAAGCGCCAGAGCAGTCAAGATCAAATTAATAAAGTTCAATAAGAAATTCTTTCTTGACCAGCACTATCTTTGATTTGTTTTGTTCTGGAGATATCATTTAAAAAAGACAAAAATAAAACACATATAAGCATATATTATTTAAAATTTTAATCTTGTAATTTTAATTTTATGTCATTTTATATATTTTTTTATAAATATTTAAGTACTTCTAATTTATAAACATAATATTTTTATTAATTTAGATTTACAATTTTAGTCTTACTAGTATTGAAATTAACAAAAGATTTTTTAATAGCAACAAAATTTTAAATAAATATGATATATTGGGTTACCAATCTGCTTCATTTATGAAATATTGTGATTAAAAAATGCATCTTTGGATATGGTAAATGAAATGATAATTGATAAGAAATATTATTTGGAATTTTTCAATTAAGAGCACTAAAACCAATTATATACATATCAATTTTAATATAAAGATTTTTATTATCGTTTTGCCTCAATTAAATTTTTTGTTCTCAATACTTTCTTGTGATAAATTGAAAAAAAAATGACAAAATTAATGTTAAAATCACATTCTTTGTTACAATAAACAAAATTGCAAATTTCCTTTTTGTGTGAAGAAATTGACTTTCGAAGGGATGGTCATGGAAGTGAAGTGATCGGGCTTTTGCTGCTTGTAAAAATTGTTTTGTTAAAAAACAAAGCGGCTGTACCAGTTTTAGTCACGGCCTGCGACCCTATTTCTTGAGCAAGAAAAAAAATAGCAAAATTGAACAAAAAACTTATTTTAACACTAAAATTCAAAATGATAAAACTTGTACTTTGAATTTGTTAAGATTTTGAATGTCAAATTTTGTTTCTCAAATTTAGCAGATTTTTTCTTATTTTCTTGCACATAAAATGGTGTCGCAGACCGTGACTGAAACTGGTAGAACCGTTTAGTTTTTTTTTATATAATAAAAAACATTTTAACAACGATGAAAAGCCCGATTTCTGCTCTTTGAAAGCATTCATTAATTAATTTATAATATTTAAATCATATTAATTGTGTCTGTGATCAGATGGACTGGGACTCGGAGGTGGACGAGTGCGGCGAGTGCACGTCCGAGTGCGAGGCCGAGTGGTACGCCCACGAGCAGTCCTGCTGCTACCAACAGGCCCTGCGACCGCCGGCCAAGAAAAGCTGCTGCACTCGTTGCTTGGGCAGCGTCCGGCGAGTGATCAAAGCCCTGGTCGAGCACAAGTACTTCCAGCAGGGCATTCTGCTCGCCATCCTCGTCAACACCCTCAGCATGGGCATCGAGTACCACAATCAGGTATACCCGTCCATTTTTTTTTATTGAAATTTTATTTTATTCATTGATTCTTCAATTCAATAAATATAAAATAAAATTATAGTTAAGTTAATATTTTAACTTAAAAATTTTTGTTTTTTGAATGTCAATTAGTTAAAATTGTTTGAATAGACCAAAATAACTAATAATTTTCCTAAAATTTCAATTATTTATAAAAAAATAAAAAAGTTAAAGACTATAATAATATTTATTCAATAAAATCTACTGTTGTAATTTTAAGCAATTTTAAAATTATTTTTTTATTATTTTTATTTAAAATAAGGTAATTTTTTGATGGGGAGGCTTGTGATTGTGTTTTTTTTTCATTTTCATATAAAAATTCTTTTAATTAGTATCTTCAGCGTGTAAATTGTTATTTTTACATTCGTTATTCATTAAATTTTTATTTACGCAAAAAAAAGAAAACAAAGCAGAATCTGAAAATCCGCAACAGTTTTGAAACAATTCCGACAATTCTCACAAGGGTATTTTCGTTTTTGTTTGGCCGCAGCCCGAGGAACTGACAGTCATCGTGGAGTACAGCAATGTTGTGTTCTCGGGGATTTTCGCCGTGGAAATGCTGCTCAAAGTCACCGCAGAGGGGCCTTTTGCTTATATAAGTAATGGATTCAACGTCTTTGACGGCATCATTGTTGTTCTCAGGTGAGTTCGCATTTGCATGTGCAAAGACCGCGCATCTGCGGCGCAACACCACTTGCCGGCTCCTTTGCAAAAGCAAACAAACCACTTGAACACTACTTGTATTACACCAGAAGGCCAGACCAATTTGCTCGAGCTGCTCGTATAATTTCAAGCTGGTTTAATTTAATGTTCATCGTTAGAATTGAGATGTTCCGTAGTGCAAATTGCTTTCAAAAATTCAACAAGAAAATTATAAAATATTCATAAAATCAATGAAGACAAATTTCAAGATCATTTTGAGCATTTTCTATGTAATTTTTACATTTTTTTATTTTTATTAAGAGTGCAGTTTTAAAACGGCAGCAAGCTGAGAAAATAATGAACAGGTGCAATTGTGTGCATCTTTATTACAAACGTCTGCTTCGCCTTTCTTATTTTTAGTCTCAATTTTAAGACTAGAAAAATAAAGATTGGCAATGATCGTTTGTAAAAACTACTGCACTTGTCTTTATAATCACTTTCCCGTGTTTTTACCATTTCAAAATGGTTTCCGTATTCTGAGACTGGCTTCAAATTTGTCTTTTGTTATTCCTAAATTAGGGATTCCGTAGAAATTTTTTTTAACTGGCAAAGCGTTAATAATTTATCATCTAAGTTTAGGTCTTAATTTTTAACTTAATATAAATCACGTTATATAACTTTTTTCGTTAAAGTTTCAATAAATTAGACATTTAGGAGAAATCCGGTGTCCTTAAATGCTCAGAAAACACTTCAAAATGGAAAAATACTGCAAAATATTTAACAAAAGCAACTTTTTAGAAAATAATCTAAATCTAGAGCAACACCAATTGCTCATTTTTTACTTTTCTTCAATGGAATTTTAAACATTGAGGGCGATCCAAAAGCCTAACCAGGCCCAGGCTAACTTAGCCCCCCAGCAAAATTGAATGGCGGGTTAAATAAGCCCGGGCCAGGTTAATTTTGACCGGGCCAAGTTAGCCTTTTGGATCGCCCTCATTATCTCCAAAATTTTGCAACTAATCATATCTGGAAATGCTTAACATTGGTTCAACTTTTTGCGCAAACTTGTAAATTCTCTCCCGTAAATAGTGTCCAATTCTCTGGAAATCAAAATAATTATTTAAAGTAATATTTGTTTTCGTTTTAAAGATGAATTTTCAAATTCTTCAAATTTTTGTTGTTTTTATGAATGGGGCCGGAGGAAAAAATTCAAATTAGTATCTTTTTATAATTAATTATATCACGTTTCAACAAATTAAATTAAGTTACAATTTTTTAAATATAAAATTTACTTTGACGCATTTCACCCCACATTCAAAACTCTTTTCAAAAGCTGTGAAAAGTCAGCGCTGCTGCCAATTGGCCTCTCTTTAGCATTTGAAAACGATTCGCCCTGAACGGGCTGAAAGACGCGGTTGAACCGAAACGTGTCCGACCACATCTCTTTAAGTGTTAAATGAGGCAGAAGTGATTTTCTCTCTCGCTTGGCCCGCAGCGTGGTGGAACTTTGCCAAACATTCCTCGGCGAGCGCGACGGTGGCAGCTCAGGGCTGTCCGTCCTGCGAACCTTCCGCTTGCTGCGCATCCTCAAACTGGTCAGGTTCATGCCCAATTTGCGCCGCCAACTGTTCGTCATGCTGCGAACCATGGACAACGTGGCCGTTTTCTTCGCACTTTTGATTCTCTTCATTTTCATATTCAGGTATGTATGCAAAAATTCCCGAACGCACAGAAACACGATTTCATTTTGATATATTTTATTTCTATAAATTATTCAAATTATTAAATACGCCATTTGGAATTTTTGACACATTACAGCCAGGCACTTTTTCCATTTCTCACTTTAAAAATTATAAATATGTCTAAAAATAAATAAATTGTTTAAAGTGGATTGAATTTACATTCGGCTTTTCCTCGATGGGTTTTTGTGAGTTTTTATTGTTTAAGAAAAACAATATCCTGCTCTACATGTTTCGGCTGCGGGCTGCAGCCATAATTCATGAGCTGTGAAAAACATTTTGACAGAAATTAGTACAAAAATAAACCTTTTTTCAAAAAGTATTTTGCTTTCAGATTGACAATGTTTCGTGAAAAATTATTTAAATTTACTTTTCTTCACAAACAATAATTTTTAACAAAAATTTGACATTTAATTCAAAATATTTTTCAAAAAACAAATAAGTTTTTATAATAATTTTGGTCAGAATATTTAAACGTGTGTTTTGAGCGTACCTTTCTCGGCGGTGGTCGAGAGAAGACTAAAATATTTTTCAGTTGGTTTTTGGGGTAAAAGATATGTTTTTTTCTTAAACAATAAAAACTCACAAAAACCCATCGAGGAAAAGCCGAATTTAAATTCAATCCACCATGAATCAACCCTCGATCGTGAACTTCTACTACAAAATTGTTTAAAATTTGAAAAGTGAGATTTGGAACGAGTTGCTCTTGAAATTTTCAAGCTCATTCTGTGTGGTGTTGCGTGTTGATCGATTACCACTTTGTGACATGCACAGAGTTCTGAAAGTGGCGTGCCCTTTTTTTTGCGAGACGAAAACGGGTTTTGCGACGAAATATTTTCATTTTTGCAAGTCTGATTTCGAAGAATGGCGCTGTTTAAAAAATAAAAATAAATGCCTGCCTTGCTTTTAGCTCACTAATTAAATTTTAAATTTCTCCCGATTAAAATTTGCAAAACTTCATTCCGTTCTCGCATTTTTCGTCTCCTCTTCCCTTCAATTCAACTCTTTTCTAGAGTGTCGTCCACTTTCAGAATCTTTTCTGCCTACACTTGAGCTGAATTTTATATAAATCCGTGATTCTATTTCCACACACAATTAATAATCTCCCCAATTCTAAATCAGATTTATATATTTACTTTAAATTTAAAATGATTGTACCATGATGAACTCTATTATCCATGACATAAACAAACACAACCGTTAGTCTATAGCAACAACTGCCTTGTTAAGGATAATTTTCACTCCTAAAAACACAAATCAATTAAGAAGCAGCGACAAAATAATTGTTATATACACGGAAACCTCTACATTAATTCCCCTTTCAAGTTATTTTAGGACAGAACAGTGTAAAACCGATATTTTTGAAAGAGAAAAGATATAACTGCCTATCATCAAAAGAAGTAAAAATTATCATCCATATTTGTGGTCTCTATTCTCCTCGCCATTGTTTATTTCACATATCGATCGGACTCTTGCTTCACCTGTTGTACATACAAATATTTTATATATACGATGATAAAACTATTCTTCTCTCTTCCTTTACTTTCTCTTTATATACATTTCCTTCCATGGTTTCATATATACTTGCTCTTTTCTCTCCTCGTCTCTTTCTCACTCAAAAAATACAATTTTTAGTTGTTCCAAAAGGTAGGACACATTTTTAGATCTCTATCGACTAAACCCTAGAAATATAAACGCAACAACAAAAAACTCCTTAATTAAATAGCATTACTTGATATAAAACTCTATGGCATGGTACATGTTTCCAAAAAAATTGAAAAAGAAAAAAAATTTAAAAATCATTCTTGCCTCTAGACGCTTTCTGTAAAATTATCTGCACCGGAATAGTTAAAAAAAATCAGAAATGCAAAACCCCGATAAAAAAAAACACACGCTAAATATGCACACACGCAAAAAGCATCCACGTTATAATTTTATTTTTTAAATCCAAGTGTACACTGTGAGACACTTAATATACAAACAAATGATTAACTTGGCAAAAACTGGGACTGAATTAAAACATTCACTTTTTATAGAAAATTGGCACGGCTCGATTTTCCGTCCCAGCTTTTCACTTAAAGGATTAGGCAACCTTCAGAATTTCAATATCTATATTTGAGATCATGTTAGATTTTTTCAAAACAGTGGGAGAGTATTTTGAGAAATTAATTTCGGACAAAAACGGATAAAATTAGAAATTTAATTTATTGACCCGTAAAATTACTTCTCCGCCAATTTATGTTAAAAAATAAATGGATTTTAAACGTTTATAATTTATATTAATTAAACAGTTTGTTAAATTTCTGAAGGTTTCCAGTCCATTTAAAAATAAAATTGAAAAAGCATGTCTCTCTCTCAAAAAATCACCGCGCGAAACCTGCTCGACAGCGCTTCTCAGGATTTGCCCTAAATCGCAATCAGCAGCTTTAGTAAAAAGAAAAAAATAAATGCATTCTCGCACATGAACCATCAGACTGAATTATACATCATGAGAATTATATATAAATATATGATTTTTTTTTAAGCTTTTCTCCCAACTATTTTTCCAACATTTTTGTACATCATGTGACTTTTTCTTTTTATTTTCCTCTTTAGTATACTGGGGATGAACCTATTTGGTTGTAAGTTCTGCAATAAAGCCGACGACGGATCTGTCAGTTGTGACAGGAAAAATTTTGACTCCCTGCTGTGGGCCATTGTGACTGTATTCCAGGTATTGAACCCGCTCTCACTCATTTATCTCTCTATTAACAATCATGTTTTTTTTTTTTCATTCAATATTTTTCAAATACCGGACCGAGTTTTGTGCATAATTGACAGTATTTTTTTCTTTCGAATATAAATATTTGCGAGCTCCTCTTTATTTTCCTGTTTGAGAAAAGCATATTTTCATTTTCGTCACTAACTTTATTAATAACAAAGAGAGAACGAAAGGGGCCGAAGCGCGAGGCGTTGCTCAGAAGGTACAGTATGACACGTTTTTTGCTTCTGCAGTTTTGACACGTATAAGAGAATGACTCTCTCGATCTTTCGCAGTCTCATGTGCTGAGATTTATACATAATTCGATACCATTGCTCATAATTATCTCACCTGTCTTTAGAGTTTAATGATGACATGCCATGCACCTGTAAGATATAATCACTTACATTTTTATAAATATATTATACTCGATTTTTAATTAATTGCTGATGAATACAGTCTCTCACAGCCGTTTTCTTAGCTCTGTTTCTGTACATAATAATACACTTCTCGTTACTCATTCCGTACTCTAGGAGAAAATATTACTCGATCGTGCATGCTCCTCTCCACATTTTTTATATAATACCATTTTTCACTATTTAATTATTGAACGACTCACGTATTTTCCTTCTTATCCATAACGGCTTTTTACTATCTGTGTGCTCAAATATTTCCATATTTCGCACTCTGGACCAACCTTTCCATAAATTTCCTCTTTTAGCACAATTAACTTTTTCAATCGTAGAGGAATAACATTGACGACGAATTGTGTGTGTGCAAAATTCCTAATGCGAATGCAAATTAAAATTCGTAGTTAGTATTTAAAACACAATTAACAATTTCTCCTCCTTAATTTGACTAAAACTTTTAAGAATTTTAATTACAATTTATTAGATTAAAGATACTGATAGATTTTTCTTTTTATTTCTTTTAGAAATTTGTAAAAATCGTCTTCTCAAAATTTTATTTAATAGAACTTCTAATATTAAACAAGGTTCTTAAAACATTTTGAGTTTTTTCTACTAAGCCCGATTTAAAAATCACTTAAATCTATCAGGATCTTCAATAATTTGATTTGATTAATACTTGAAGACCCAATTATTTGTTTTCCTCAATTTTTCCCATAAATTCACTTTCCTGCCTGTCCATTTACACTTTTGAAATTAATTCACAGTTTGCGTGACTTAATCCTCACTTTGAAAACATACAAATGCGCACATTTTAAGGAAAGTCACGCGAACCGTGAAAGTTTTTAAACAAATTTCATTCCTGCTTGCAAATCATTTCTCTTTTAAATGTTTGTATTCCGTGAATGAACATGAAACATTTTCGTACGACACAAACAAACGATTTCCTTGAAAATTCCTTTTGACTTTCATATCATTGAAGTGGAGATAAATCTGCATTTCCATATTCCTTATAGATCATCGCGCCTGCTGTAAATAATCACACGAAATCTGTGTAGCTTTCGAATCAATTCATCAATTTTCATCTACATGACGAAAAAATGAATAAAGAATCGCACTGCATCAGTCTTTCTCTGTCTCTCTTGGTAATTTAGTGCGCAGCAGCTTTTCTTTATAGTTAATATTAAAACAAAACAAAAATAAGGCAGTAGAATAAGAGTGTTTATTGAACCTGTGTGCCGACCCTTGTAACAACAACAATGCGACAATTAACCACATATTACACTGTGTCTGTCCGAAGTACCATAAAATACTACTTTAATCTCATCGGTTTATATTTTATATATATTTATACAAAATATTTTCGTTTTTCTCTTTAACCAAATTATTTCTTTTAATGTTCTTTACATGTGACTCCACTTTGTCCGCTTTATTCTTTGCTCCGTCTCCTGGACGATGCTGTGTTTGTTTATACAAAATTTCAAGTTCAATCATCGTTACATTTCCTTCGGCGAAAACAAAAAATATATAATCACAAAGTCGTCCCTGAGGTTGTCATTATTATAGATTCCATTCCTTTTTAATTAAAAATCTTAGAAAATTAGTTGAGTGAAAAACTTCTTATTTAATTCGGATTTAAAAAGAAAAAAAAAGAGTTTCTTCCTGTGTATTATCCCAGTATACACCTTGTGTCCGACTAACTATGTTCATCTGTATTGTGTCATTTATAATCTCACCTCCAGAGAAGTTAACTAACTCGTGTGTGACGTCATATTATTATATTATTTTATTTTTAAATAAAAAATTCCTTATCTTTAGTTTTGAATAATTATATATTTAAAATAATATCTGTGCTGTAAATCTCATTATATATATATTATATACTCTCTCAGTCCTCCTAACCAAATAGAAGTTCTGGTGCTGTGGTCACGTCGCTTGTTTTTGCTTTTTGTTTCAGTATTTTGGGAATGTACTTATTTGGCGGTAAGTTTTGCATGTGGTATGATGGAACGAGGGAATGCTCTTGTCATGAAATCGTCAATCATGATCCAAAGTGTGTTTGTGACCGCAAACATTTTAACAATATCCTTTGGGCGACAGTCACGGTATTCCAGGTGGGTATCATAATTCGTCCGTCTCCTCCCGTTCGCTATTTAACAAAATACAAATAGATCTCGCCTTTAGATTATCTCATTTGCTTCACACTCCACTAGAATCTTTACCAAATATATTTTTTATAATATGCTCTCTCACTTTACGTGTAAATTCTCACGTCTTCTTGTGATATATTTGCCACATTTTGCAAATTTTTGTGCTTGCGAAGTATTCACTGCCTTTTTTTAAGCATAAAGATGGTTTTTTTTAAATAAATTTAGTAGGATTATTAAGACAATCTATGCATTCAGTGCAAGCAGGAAATGTAGAAATTGTTTATCTTGATTGATAAAGATAACTCATGCAACTTACTTAAATGTAATTAATAACAAAAAATGATTTTAAAAAGTACTTCCATATACTATTAGAGAAAGAGTAAAATAAGTATAAAAATATAATAATTAAAAAAATTATTAATATAAAAATTGCTATTGTATTATAAAATAAATTTTATATTATAAATGTCAACAATAATTTACGTTATATTATATTTTAAAATGTAAATCTAAAAATATTTAATGCTAAATAAATCATTATTTCTTTGAGTATCTGGAAAAAGAAATTATAAAGTTGCCTCTGCAATCCGGCTCACTCAGACCCAATTTGCATATAATCAGCACGCAATTTAGTTTCCTTACATCAAAGCGTTCATTTTCTTTCCATCTTTATGCTCCGCAGGCCATAAATTAGATAAAATCGGCCGACGTAATTCGCTGCTCCACTTTTGCCGCGGTAGCTTGCTAGGTATGCAACAAGTTGAGCAGAGCGTACGCAACGGTTGCATAAGTCCTCCTTTTGTTACGGCGAGGGAGCGGCGGCTTAATTGAATTAAAAGCCAGCAGTTGACTGCTTGTTTTGTTAAATCATCATAATAATCCCCGCGAAATTATAATCAGTTGTGACTCGGTTAAAAAGCAGAAAATATTTCGCAGCACTTTGAGTAAATAAAATAATTTCTCTATCTCTCTCCCTTTTTCGGAGTGCTCAACTTTAACGCTAGAGTTTTCTTTAGAATTTGCATGAGGCTCTGTAACTCTCACTCGCGAGAAATAATTAGATTTTCAAAGTTGCCAAAACTTGCTAATCTACTAATTAGAGTCTTGAAAGGCTGCGACTTTATACTTTTCCATTCAATTATATAAACCACGCCGTTCACTTTGCGAACGGCACCCGCGACCTTTCGCCCCCGGGGTGAGAAATTTTTCTTGCGCAGATCCTGACCCAAGAGGACTGGAACGTGGTCTTGTTCAACGGCATGGAGAAGACCAGCCACTGGGCCGCGCTCTACTTCGTCGCCCTCATGACCTTTGGCAACTACGTTCTTTTCAACTTGCTCGTCGCCATTTTGGTCGAGGGATTCTCCGCCGAGGTAAAAATCCAAAACTGCGAAGAAAAACACACACATTATTCGATTCTTCCAACTCTGGAATTTTATTTAGAGTCTCTTCTTTCTGCTATTCTCTTCCTCTTTACGATCTATGCACTGGTTTCCTCCTCATGCACAACCTGCACCTCTAAAACTTTTGTACTTTTATTATGAAATTATAAATTATCCTTCTTCCGAAGAAACACACATTTTCAGGGCTGTGAATTAAAGTATTTTTTTCTTTCTTAAATTTGGATCAATTTTTTCTCATTTGCGTGATTTTAGGTTGTTTTTAGACACTTTAAGTTAATATTTAAGATGGTTTTCATTAATATTCCAAATTAATAGAATGCTTAATAAAATAGTCAACCGTCTAATCTCAAATTTCACAGCCCTTTACACATTATTATTCCGTAGACCTGGGTTTATCATTTTGCTCAATTTCTTTACTCTTTTGATACTATGGGACTCGTTCTGCATAAATTTGCATATATGAAATTTTATCCATCCATATTTTGCATCAGCATTGAGTAAAAAGGAAATTAATTCAATTGTGCCAGCATTAATAATTCATCCGTGACCATTGATTTTGAATTGGGTTGTCAATTCGAACATGAATTCAATTCATTTTAAATGCACCCTTCATTTGGGACCGATAAAATCTGGTAATATAATCATTTGCTCGAAATCATTTATTATATATTTACATGCTGGATGCTTTTGAGAAATCAGAGACGCTTTAGAAATGTGCACACGCTAGGCTGAAACCTTACGCTTGCAATTGTAGAGAAATGAGCGGCTCGAGCGAGAGCAAAGAGAGCTCGCCAAGGCCCAACAACAGCAGGAGGCGGCGGCGGCGCAGGAGGCGGCAGCAGCGGCGGCGGCTGCAGAGTATGACCCTGAGGACTCAGGGGGCTCTGGCAGCAGCAGTTCCTGTCTGGTAGGTTTTGCGCTGCCCGAGACTCACACGCTATAGTATTCTGGAGACTTTCATGATCGTAGTTAGATTAGACATTTTCTCTCTGCTGATGGGAATTTCCAAGCACAACCTCAGAGCTGGACTAAAATTTTGCATTTTATTAATTAAATTTTTGAAATTCTCATTCTCTCGATTCCGGCCCTGCAATTTTTAAATTATACTTGGATTCTTACGATTTCTAATTTGATTCTACCGATGTATAGGAAAACGTGCTGAAACCGGATAATCCGACGCGGAACAACACTTTCGGACAGCACGACCGAGAAAACAGCTGGAAGGTCAGGACGCAGGTCGAGTTCGAGCCCAAGTGCAACATTCAAAAAGGTGTGCAATTAAAATAAAATAAAATGCTTGCTCCATATTTATTAGGCACATTGGAACTTATTAAATTTAGTAAAAGGTTTTGGACACTTTATTAATATTAAACTTTTAATAATTTAATTTTTTATATTTTAATTATTATTTTTTTCATTTTTATAATTATAATGATAATTATTATTTTACTTTTTTATAATTATTTTATTTTTTGTTAAAAAATGACATTTTTTTTATTTTAAATCAACATTAGGCATTTTTATCCAAAGGAACAATAATAATTTATTAGTAACAAATTAAAAAGAACTAATTTAAAGTTCGAAACCATAATTTTATTTATTGCTTCGTTAAATTTGAGAAAATAGTTGAATTCATATTAAATAAATTTTATTTGCAAATGTAATTTATAAAATTCGCCACTTTTCTGAGCAGAAAGCCAGATGCTGCAGCAGCAACAAGCGCAGCAGCAGGGTGGCAGCGCGACGCCACCCCCCGCGCCACAGGCGCCTGTGATCACCCACACGGCGGCCACCCCTCAGGACTCGCCGAACGCCACCCTCGAGCCTGGCGCCGTCGGTCTGCACAGGCTCAACCCCAACATAAGTTTGTACGCCAGTTCCCTCTCCATTGATTCCATCGACAGATCATCAGTGAGTATTTCTTCTATCGCAATCAATTTTCTGACCAAATTAAGTTTCTGCCTGGGGAACTTTCGCAGCGGATCCAGAGACTTTGGGAAAACCGGCTGCACTTTGTAAGAGTTCAATGTGGGCCCTCCTATATATTTGCAGAAATAGAATTAATTTAAACCCTGTTTGGCTTTGAAAGTGTTCAGATCGGTGTTGATTCAGCGGCTTTCCATGTTTTGCCTTTGATGTTTCTCAAAAGAAAACGCCAAGTTTTATAGAGTCCTGCACATGTTTAGCATACTTTTATAAATGTTTGACGTTGATTTTTGTGAAAATGACAAGCGAACGACAATTTTCCAGTCATCCCAGTGCAGCATTCCAGGCCTTTTAAGGCCACCAGCAGCGGCCCCGAGCAATCCCCACGCTTCAAGGCAGTCCTCAGGGTCGAACACACCACGCAGAGTCAGTCTTTCAGTTACCCCACCAAGTGGCTCCAGACCAAAGTAAATATAAATTAATTAAATCATAAATCATCATTGGAAAATTATTGAATGAAAAATAAATGGTTCAAATTTACTTCACCTTAGAATTGGGACATTAAAAATTTGCGAAAAATTGTTTAGAGACTCGGTTAAAACATAAAATAGTTCAAGTTTATTGAAGCAAAAACATTTTAAAATGTTTACAACAAACTCTTTTTTACTTTATAATATTTTCTGGAATTACTCATGCAAATTTATGGAAAAATTAGTTCCAGTCTGAACAGAACTGCCGGCTGGCGGATTTCAAGGCCTTCCCTGCGATCGCGCCAGCGGCCCCCGGGAGCCGAAGAAGCCCCGGAAGATTTTGTCCTCAACAACGGCGCGCACAGCAACTCGTACAATCACAGCCGCCAAATCAATAATCTCGCAGTGCCTGCCATGTACTGATTGATTTAGAAAAAAATTTAAAGATTTTATTAATGGAAAATGTTTTGAGCAGGCAAGAGGGCGACCAGCACTTGCACTGCAACGGAGGCCTCCTCGGCTCCATCCGCAATGATACTCAGTCCCCGTCGCGCAACAACCTGCTGTCGGTGCAGGCGCCCGCCACCTCCTCCTGCTCCCTGAGACGCCCGTCGGCCTGCTCCACGCTCCTCCCGCCATCCGTGTCGAATCCAGCATCAAGATCTCCAAGCATAGCACCACCTCATTCCCCGTTCATGCAGGTATAGCAGGAAGGAAGGAATCAATTATCTTTGGTTTAATTATTGAATTATTATTTACCATTTAAAAATTAAACAATGTGTTTTGAATTTTCTACAAATAATTATTAAAACGTGTTATAAATGTTCCCAGAAGATAAAAGAAAAATTTACAAGACGAGAATTTAACAATTAATATTAACTATTTTCACTAGAAGATAATGTAATGATTTGAAATTTAAAATTATTATTTTAAAAGATTAAGCATTAAAAAATAATAATTTTATAATATTTAGTTTAAAATTTATTATTTAAAAAAGCAAAAATAAATACATAAATAATAATAAATTTAAGTCATTTAAGTCATTGACCCCGGTGACATGTGACCTTTTTTGACCTGGTCACTATGTGTGATACATGATCGGAAAGAACAAGTCAAGGGGAATAATTTTTGTCTTTACACATTTTGTCCTATCTCTAACATGAAAAAAGTTATGGCCGTTTAAAGTTGTTTTTGCATGAAAAAGGCTCAGAAAACCACGTTTTTTACCCTTTAACTCTGAATATCTCAAAAACGCAAAAAAAATGCCACCATTTTTTAATATGTTGTTAGTAACTTAATTAGGCAACTTTTGGCTATTTTGAAATCAAATATTTTTCTTCCGTCGTACTTTGATATCGACTTAAAAACCCGAGGTCAGAAAAATTGACCTTGAACTTTGACCTTGGTTACCACGGCAAAGTTGTAGGACGTCTAATTTCCTACAAGTTTGATATTAGAAGCATTTGCGCTATCTCAAACAGGAACTGAGATATTTTCGATTTTTTTAAAACTCCTTTCTTCAAAATCGCCAACCTTGAGCCCCTGTAAAATAGGCAATTTTGATAATTTTTCAAAATCCTTCTAAACTATTTGTCTGGACCATGAAACGAAATGATGGGCCAAATTTCATTCAATTTGGTTGACCCTTGCCAAGAGCGTGTCAAATTAAAATAAATAATGCCAAATATACTTTCTATTTAAAAAATTTTGTTTAATAATTTTATATATAACTAATTTATTATTTTTAATTTTTGTAATTTACATTTAAAAAAAAAAATTAATCTACATAAGATCTTTTTTTAACTTTGCAAAGGGCACATCCTGGCCAGGTCACCACGTGTCCTACCACCAGCACAGGCACGCGTCCTTGTGCGAAGGCGCGCAAGTGCCGATGCGTCTGATGCACCACCGGCCGTCCCTGGGGCCGCAGGTGGGCTGCGGCTACAGGTCGCGCCACGCGTCCATCTGCATGCACCACCACCACCACCACCCCATCGTCTCCGAGCGGTCCTCCTTCACCAGCAACAAGTTGTCCACCTCGCCGCTGCCGCAGGTCAAGGTCGGCGCCGAGGACGAGGAGCCCAAGGTGAAGAAGATCTTCAAGTTCTTCGAGCCGAGGGGCTGCCTCAAGGAGAGGGACGACTACTCGCTCTACATTTTCTCTCCGGACGACTCGTAAAATTGAGTTTTTTCTTTATTTTCGTAAAATTTCATTATTTTCTTTGTAGAAAATTTCGGAATCTGTGCAGTTGGATTGTGGAGCGACGGTGGTTCGACAATGTGGTGCTGTTCTTCATTGGCCTCAACTGCATTACCCTGGCCATGGAGAGACCAAACATCCCTCCCGACTCCACAGAGCGGATGTTCCTTTCCACGGCCAACTACGTTTTTACTGTTGTTTTTGCTCTAGAAATGTTAATCAAAGTGAGAGGAGTTTTGTTTTAATTTTCTTTTTCGATTTTATTCAAATTTAATGCAGGTGATAGCCACTGGGATGTTTTACGGCCGGGAAGCCTACTTCACCTCGGGCTGGAACATCATGGACGGCGTGCTTGTCCTCATTTCCATAGTTGACCTGCTGATGTCCGTGATATCAGAGAGCAGTCCCAGGATATTCGGAATTTTAAGAGTAAGAAATAACAAAATAAAAATTAAGTTAAAATAATATTAGCTTATGTTAAAAATAAATATATTTATTTAAAATGTTAGAAATTTTAATATGTTTAAATTTTTAAAAATTACTTTGTTTATTAGAATTTTAAATTTTTTAACTTATTTTTTTAATTAAAATTAAATATTAGCTAATATAAATGTTTACATTTTAATTTAGGTTTAATTAATCATCAAACTAAAATTAAATATTTTTATATTAGTATATAAATAACCAGTTTCTTTGATCCACTAGAAATGAGAAATCATTAATTGATAATAATTGATTTGATTTGACCATCTTAATATTTTAATCTCTCCTAATCAATTTGCCAATTTAAGTCTCAAATTGAATGCTAAAACATGATGTGGATTTCATGAAAATTGAAACCAGGCAAACCCTGTTGCAACGAAAAATGAATAAATAAAGGACGACTTTTGCTTAATAAGTTTCTGCAGATTTCTTATATTAAAATTAAATTCACCCCATTTAATTTTTAATTTTTTATGAATTCCTCCCACTTAGTTTGGAGTTTGGACACTACAAAACCCTAGGTTTTTAAAGTTAGGTCGCCTCTTGGGGTCAGTTGTCCTTTATTTATTTCTTTGCAACAACGTTTGCTCGGTTAAAATTTTCAATTTTACTCCTTCAAAATAATGAATGTTTTCCTATTAGGTTTTTCGACTTCTCCGATCTTTGCGGCCTCTGCGAGTCATCAACAGAGCGCCGGGTCTCAAACTTGTAGTACAAACATTATTATCATCGCTGAGACCCATCGGAAACATAGTTCTCATTTGCTGCACCTTCTTTATTATTTTTGGAATTCTAGGTGTACAGGTGCGTCGATAAAAATAGAATCAAATTAAACGAGAAATTAATCACTGTTTTGCAGCTATTCAAAGGTGCATTTTACTACTGTGAAGGGCCAGACATTAAGAATGTGAGAAATAAGACTGACTGTTTGGCCGACAAAAAAAACTCGTGGGTGAACAGAAAGTACAATTTCGATGACCTGGGCAAGGCGCTCATGTCGCTGTTTGTGTTGTCCTCCAAAGACGGCTGGGTCAACATCATGTACACCGGCCTTGATGCAGTCGGCGTCGACCAACAGGTGAAATTAAAATTTGTACAAAGAATCAATTAAAAAAATGATATATTTGATTAATTATTAATTTTGTAACTAAATTTAAAAAATATTTGCAGCCAATAGAGAACTTTTCGGAATGGCGCCTGCTTTATTTCATCTCATTCCTGCTGCTCGTCGGCTTCTTCGTTCTCAACATGTTCGTGGGAGTTGTGGTTGAAAACTTTCACCGGTGCAGAGAAGAGCAGGAGAAGGAGGAAAAGGCCCGGCGTGCAGCCAAGAGAGCAAAGCAGATGGAGAAAAAGAGAAGAAGTAATTTAAAATTTTATTTTTGTAAAAAAATTAAATCAAAATTTCAGGAATGCACGAGCCTCCGTACTACGCCACTTACTCCAGGCCGAGACTTTTGGTCCACAACGTCGTCACCTCAAAGTACTTCGACCTGGCCATCGCAGCAGTGATAGGCCTGAATGTGGTCACCATGGCGCTTGAATTCTACATGATGCCAAAAGCGCTCTCGTACGCCCTCAAGATTTTCAACTACTTCTTTACGGCGGTTTTCATTCTCGAGTCCATCATGAAATTAGTTGCCCTGGGAATGCACCTGTACTTCAAAGACAGGCAAGTAGCATTAACAACTTTTTGTAATTATGCAACCTGCAAAGCTCGTCTGTTTAGCAGGTTGCCTAATTATATAAATTCAAGTTATTAATTATTTTGATAATTTCAGGTGGAATCAGTTGGACGTCATAATTGTTATTTTGTCCATTGTGGGGATCGTCCTTGAGGAGGTGGAGTCCAAAATCATCCCTATCAACCCCACCATCATCAGGGTAATGAGGGTTCTAAGGATTGCAAGGGGTAAGAGACCTGTGATTATTTACATGTTTTTGAAACTAAAATTGAAATCAATTCAGTCCTGAAACTTCTGAAGATGGCCAAAGGTATCAGAGCCCTTTTGGACACCGTGATGCAAGCCCTACCGCAAGTGGGAAACCTGGGGCTCTTGTTCTTCCTTCTCTTCTTCATTTTCGCTGCCCTCGGAGTGGAGCTTTTTGGACGCCTTGGTAAAATTACTAAAAACAATTGGCACAAATTTTGCTAATATTTGATTTTACTTAATTTAAAATCAGCCTTGATAACATTTTTATTTATTTAATAATTTTGTGAAAATTTTAAAATTACATTAAAAAATTTCACAGAGTGCAGCGAAGAAATCCCATGTCAGGGTCTGGGCGAGCACGCGCACTTCAGCAACTTCGGCATGGCCTTCCTGACCTTGTTCAGGGTAGCCACCGGTGACAACTGGAACGGCATCATGAAAGACACCCTGAGGGACACGTGTGATGACGCGGCCGACTGTGTGCGCAACTGCTGCGTGTCCACCGTGATCGCCCCCATCTTCTTCGTCATCTTCGTCCTGATGGCGCAATTTGTGCTGGTCAACGTGGTGGTCGCCGTCCTCATGAAGCACCTCGAAGAGTCCCACAAACAGGTAAGCATTCATTTCGTTTTTCGTGTAATATTGTGAAAGTAAAAAGAAGAAAAAAAATCAATGTTTTCCTCTTCTCTGGTCTTTAACCGAACCAAAAACTTGAATTTCCTTCTTGAGAGGCAATCTATTCAAAACTCTGTTTCCCTCTAACTCTTTCTAAATATTCAGCACGGACTCAAACAGGTAAACTTCCTCTCTTGACTATCACTTTCTTGTCTCTCTCTCAACTCTCTTTCTCTTGATCTTTGTCTTGTGTAAATACTACGTCGTTTTTTGTGCATAATTGTTTCAGTTTTGTCGCAGCTGTCGTGAATCAGAAAGTAGACAGATTAGAATTTGTAATTGGATAGATGGTTCCGAAGATGTAGGGCCCAAATTCTCCCTATTCACGCTGTGTACAGGACCTTTCCCCTCAATTTCTGATATGACCGATGCTTATTCAGACGGGGATGTAATTATCCAAGAATAAACTTTAATTCGACGGTTTGTTCAATATATTCAAAAAGTGCAGCTTGTGCATTTCTCTCTCTCCATATTTTATCTTTGGGCAGATTTTGGGCACTTAATATTCAATCGGTTTTCAATTTCTTATTATTATACAAGGTCTCACTTCCGGCTTCTGACACTCCACAGGCTTTTTCAAGTTTCTCGAGTTCAGCTGTGCAGCAATATTTTTCACCATCTTTTTGCAATTTTTCTCAGCTTACAATTTCTTCGCATAAGCGTGGCAGTTTTCTCACTTTTTGAATGGATAAATTAAAATATTTATTGCGCTTTCAAATTTGCAATCTTTATATAATGCATCACGCAGACACGTGGCTTGTCAAATATTCATAAATTTTTGAGAAATCGTGTGAATTTCCATGTCTGACGCGAGGAAATCTTTCCGCAGATGGAGGACGAGCTCGATATGGAGGTGGAGCTGGAAAGGGAGTTGCAGGCAGAGCAAGAGGAGGCCGAAGAGGCTGAAGCTGCAGAGGCGCTCAGGTTAACCATGCAGGTATGCGCTGACGAAGAATTTAATTTTCATAATATAATTGAAAGAATTTATGATAATTCCAAATTCTTTTTCATTTCTTTTAAGAAAGTAGAAAAGACTCTGAATTATGATTTGATCTGTATAATAATTTAAATCTGCATTTAAAATTTGATTTTAATTTTTCGAAGGAGGAAGAAGAGAACAATCTAGGAAAGCACAAACAGTTGAGCAAGGTGCTGTCTTTGCCTGCAAACTTCACCTTCCACTCCATGGAACAGGGTCAGGCTGACAAGATCACCAATGGAGACTCATTTTCAGAGGACGCTGGTAAGTGTAAACAATTTGATAATTTTAAATTCATAATAATTTATCTTTTTACTATCATTTTAAATCATTTAATTTTTTATTTAAAAAATAAGTTATGAAATTTTTGTTTATTTAAAAAAAAATCAACTGTTTTAAATGAAAAAAATATGAGATAATTGATATTAAACGACTCAAACATAACAACATTAAAATAAATTTTTTGTAGTTTAAAATTGTCAATTATTGTTTTGTATCAAAAAATATAAGAATGTAATAAAATAATATTTAAAAATTGTTAAATTAAAAATTTATATAAAAAATTAATGATATTAAATAAATTAAATAAAACAAGGTTAAAAAAATAGCATATAAAATTTATAAATTGTTTTTTATAATATTTCATTTGTAATTATTACAACTGCGCATAGAACAAATGAAAAACTAAACTATATATTTTGGAATTTATTAAAAATTTTGGGTTGGCAAATAAAACATTCTTTCTTTAAATTAATTGTTAATTAAAATATTGTAAAATTTTCAGACGGGGTGAAGCAGTTGTCGCGTCCAACGCACCTGACGCCGCTGCGGCGCCGCATCCCGCCAGCCTACCCGGCCAACAACTGTGCCAAGGCGGTGCTGTGCCGGCGCTCGGGCAGCGAGCCGAGCATCAACGCCGCCTCCGGGGGCGGCGGCGGCGGCCTGGCGCGGCCCGGCGAGCGCAAGGAGCTGCGTCGGCCGGGCAGCAGCGGCAGTTTGCACGCGCTGGTGATGCCGCGGGACACGTCGAGCGGCCTCTCACCCGAGTGCGTGGCCCCCGGCAAGACCCTGGTGCCGCCCCCGTACCAGACGCCGAGCAGCGAGCAGGCGCCGCCGATCGGCGCCACCAGCCCCACCTTTTCCATCTCGTACAGTGACAGTTGTAGTGAGACGGTCAGCAGCTCCGAGTCGATCACGTCGCCGTCGGAACTCTAGCGACCTGCTTAGTATCTTTTTGGCCTAAAGTCACTCAAACACACACACACGCAGAGTCTAGCATTGGTTTTACGCAAACGAAAGTGAGAGTGGGATTTATCAGGGCAGTTGGCGGCCAACACACGCTTTTGGGGATCTTTGAAGCTATAATAATACTTTTTTTTTTGGAAAATTTTCTGTTCGATTTTGCTGGTTGTTAGGTACCTATGTCGACACGGGAGAGAGCTTAAATCCGCGATAAATTTGTGTGATTTCGATCAAGTGCTGCCTTGTATGCATAATTTAAACCGAAAAACGCGCGTGTACGTTGTTTGCTTGGGAATATTTCACGTTTGAAGAAAATAGGAGGCTTGTGAATTTTCGTAAAAATAGTTTATTTACAAGGTATTTAAAAAAGTTGCGATTTCAGAGTTAAGAAACCTTAAAATCTTCCAAAATTGAATATAAATGAATAATATAAACTCAAAAACCTTATAATAAGGTATTATATTTGAAATTTTTGTTTAAATTTTATATTTTTAAACCAACCAGGACCTGTTTCTAGAGGCCTAAATTCATACTTTTGGAGCTATACAGACTAAATTTGAAAACAAAATTGCACATTTTACAACTGCGCGAAATAATAAACAATTTTTCAGTTTGGAATCACTGTTCTTATGAGATGACACTTCCAATATCAAATTTTGAAATGGAATAATTTGCAAAAACAGCTTGATCTGTTTAGAACAGAAAATTAAAAGCGAGTCTAAAAATCTATTCAAGTTCTAACGCTATGTTTGAAAAATTCAACAAATAAATTAATATTTTTGAATCTTAACAGTTCAAAAATACTGATTAAAATTCACAAGTCTCTGATGAAAAAGGATTTTGTTCGGCTTCTTGATTTACGCCTTTGCATGTTGAGAGGGTAAGAGATTTGCATATAATTAAATATATTATTAACGAAATGTGCAACTCGCACTTACGTACGTCTTTCTGATCTGGACCTAAAATCTTGATACTGATTCTAAAAATGCCTTCGGTACACCATGGTGCAAAAATAAACTTCTTCTTTTCAAACTCCCTGAGCTGTCAAGTACACTACTTGCCCTGCTGGTTGTGTGTTGGATAAAAAAAATTGCAAGTTACGTAAAATACAAATATAGGGAGCGAGCGAGTTTCATACAATTTTTGAAGCGATAAAAATGCAGAGACGTCATTTTGTTAACAGAGAAAGAAGAAATCATACTAATTAATTATAATATGAAATTCTGTGATAGGGTTTGTGTGTAATTAATAATGTATATTCCTCAAAATATGTACATTTTTTGTGTAGAGTCAGTTTGTCGGTGTCGATCAATTGTAATTTGCAAGAGGAGAAAAAGGTTTAAAAGTTATAAAGAGGTGCGATTTGCGATTGTGGCTGGAGTAAATTTTGAACAAAAAAAACATCAAAAGAAGATAATTCGAGGCGGGTCTTAATAACACACCCGTTGTCAATTTTGTGTATTTTAAAACATTCAGAAACTTCTGGAAAAGTATGTAAGTCACGGAATTTAGAGAGAATGAAAAAAGAATAAGAAAAACTCTGCCCATTGTCTTGTAAAACCATTCAATTTTGAGGATTTCAAATTATTATGGCTACAGGTACGTGTGTAGTGCAAGTGTCTGTCCAAATTGTGTCCCTTGGCGAGGAATTTTAATCAAATTCTCACAAATGAGTCGCCGACAAACCACGTAACTGTTGAGAATAAAAACAAAATACACAATTTGTAAATGTGCTACGTACGGCAGATCTCTAGGCAACAAAAAGAAGTAACATGCATTAATAAATTCATTGAAATAATGAAAAGCCAAATATTAAAAAATCGTCTCTCTCGATCGTCCATATGTTGAGGAGTGTTAAAAAATTCACGGCTTACATTGTTGGGAAAAATCACGCTCTTTTCTTTCCCTTTACTTGGCTCTTTTCTATACAAAGCTCAACCCCTTTTTGATTTTGTTCACTCTCCCGAGATTAGCGTAAGCAAAGACACACATGACGCCTCTCTTTCAAGAGCAATATTAAAATATATTTTTTAGACCTCGCGCCCGTCAGTCACTTTATACTTCATAGGTACGTAGCGATCCTTTCAAATTAATCTCCAAACTGTGCCTTTTTGTATCAAAAACACACTCATGCGAAAAAAAAACTCGATAAATAGGCGAATTGAGGTGGGTCTTAAAAAAAAGCGTTTTTTGTAAGATAATAAAATTCGCGATCCCCTGAAAAAGCCGAATCGTAAGATGGAATGAGTGCGGTGGTTTTATTTTCGGAACTCTGAAATTTAAAAAAATGCGTAAACAAATTTGGTCCATGGTTCGAAATTAATTGGCAGAAAAAGAAATTAAGTTTCTCATCAAACAAAATTTCATTTTCCAGGCACGAACCATTTGATTCCAATCTCCAGGGGAATCTGAAAATTGAAAAAAATAATTCAGTTTTTTTTTCAGTTCTTGTTTGAGATTGCTTGAAACATGGTATAGAATATTCTTTAAATAATTTTTTAACAATTCTTTTAAAAGTCTAGGTTTTTTACTGTATTTTTAAAAATTCCTAATCATTTTGATAATTTTGTACTAACTCACTCATTCCAACTTATTTCTTTCGTCGAGCGACAGACCACATAGATTTTAACTCCATTTTTCGAGTTTTTTTCCATCTGCCTGTAAGTTGAATAGGACGACTTCTGCTGTACGACAAAAATTCCAACGTGCGCCCTATTTTCCTATCAAACAAAAGGACTCGGATTAATGTACACATGTAATTATATTGCAACATAAAAAAGCCACCGAATTTCTCTCTCCTTTTCGGAGCTGGAAGAAAGTGATTTTACCAAAAGCGATTGAATAATTCAATGGATGCGGAATTTGTTCCACAATTTTCGCGCAAGGAAGTGACAAAAAAATAATATTATAAAACATTTTACATGAAAAGAAAATCTATCCTCTCTTTCCATTTGCCTTTTCAGTCTATTGTAGATTCGAGAGTGTACATCAAAAGCTGTACGTTTTTGAATGAAAAAAAGAACCGACTTTGTATATTGAGGTGAAAAATTAATATATTGCATGTAATTATATTCCTCATTAGAAAACGCATGTATGACGAACAAGCTGGCTGGCATGTTGAATTAATTCTGTTGACGCCTAGTTCATTATTTTACAACTTAAATAAAAAGAAGAATTGATTCTAATGTATCAATGTTGACTATTAATATATTTGAGGAAAAACACTCTCTGTTACCGTATAATGATTAAATAAAAAGAGTAAACCTTTTGTATTTGTAACTGGGACCAGTCGTGTCTGATTTTCTCTGCACCCAAATTAGCCTGGAGGTGTTAATGGATGGGGAAAATGATAATTTGATGGATGTGAGTCAGAATATTGGTTTAGGTTGAATGCGACGCTCACAATTTAACGATGTACAAGCTGATAGGATGAGCTTTGACAAAATAACGGAATTTGCTATAATAGCTCATCCTATCAGCTTGTACCGCGGTGCCTCCGAGTTTCGTCCGTCGTTTTGCTAACTCGCGCCCTGTGTTATTCTTATGGGGGGAAAAAGCAAACGCCGGAGGCCGCCGCGGCCGTTCTAGTGGACGGATTTTCAATTTATAAAAAACAAAATGAAGCTAATTTTTGGGCCGATTTTTCCAGGGATCGTCCGGCACCGCCGGGGCCGAATTGCCGATTTTTCGGCAAAATATTCGGCTTATGGGAATTAACACGCGCTTTTGCTTCGGACACGAGACGTAATGATCGCCGCGAGCCAAAGGCGGCCCCCCGGGAGCCCCCAGGCTGAAATTAATCACCCGCGGCCGAATTTGGCGATGGCGGTGGTAAAATGCATAAATGGGTGTTTTTTGAGAATTTTTATGCGAATTCTCGGCTTAAGGGATTTTACATGTGTTTGCGCTCGGAAAGGGTCGGAACGGCTGCCGCGGGCCCCCGACGGCCCCCACTGACCCACCTTTTGTATTTGTAACTGGGACCAGTCGTGTCTTATTTTCTCTGCACCCAAGTTGTTAGCCTGGAGGTGTTAATTGGCGGGGAAAATGATAATTAGTACTTCTTCGACTTGCTGTTTGACGGATGCGAGTCGGAATATGGAGTAGGTTGAAGGTACGAACTGAAGGCGACGCTCACAATTTAAAGATGTCCAAGCTAATATAGGTTGAGCGTTTACCAAATAACGGATATTGCTATAGTAAAATGTAAGTAGTTGAAGTGCTATAGTATTTTTTTTAGTTGCAATGTATTTTATCTTCAATACATTCAAACCGTTCCAAAGCGTGCAATTATTATATAAAAAACGAAAGATAAAAAATTTTAATCATTCACTTGGATTCCGGTTGCAAGTAAGAATCTAAAATCCAGAATTTTTTTATTATCAAATACTTAAAATCTAGCCGCATTCATATACACATTTTATTTAAAAAAGAAGAATATTGATGAATTTTATTGCAAATTGTTATTCTCATTTAGACTAAAAATTTTTGGAACTTGCAATTCAGTTGAATATAACGGGCGCCGCAAATAGAGCGAATCATGCTCGGTGCCTTCGCAGAGAAAGGCAAATTCCTTGGCCTGCCGTAAGAAAATTCTAATTACCATATTTATTATTATATGTTTGTACTGCCATGAAATATCTTTTTAGTAAAAATTCAGCAATTGTTTGATAATTTTTTATTTAAAATCAAGTCGAGGCTTAAAGATGTAACATATGGGCTTGTTAATTCAGCTACCATCTCTTTTTAGAAAACACTAAATTACAAACTTGTTGACAAAGAGCTATTCTTTCATAATGTCCATTTTAACATATTTGCATCTTGATTTTTTTCCTCTTAAAAAAAAGCTTTAAAATTGAAATTTTAAAATTTGAACTCGGAAAAATTTTTGAGATAGCCAAATCTGCGTTTAATTTTGACTCTCGGTTAAAACTTTCATTAGAACATTTGGGCTGCAGTGTGTAAGATAAAAAATAGCAACTTAAATATTGAAATGGGAAAAAATATTCTCGATGTCTCATCGTCCGTGTTTTGAGTTTTACTTTCTGGAAGCTCGACATAAGTTTTCAAGTATTTCGCCGTTACGATCATAACAAATTCTCATTCCTCAACGACTTCAGCAACATCAGGAAGCAGAAGGACTTCCATCTAACGTAACACGGTGCCCACTTTTTATTAACTCCGGCAAAATCGTAATTGTAAATATTATTATTTTTTATTGTTAAGTTGTTTAAATGAAAAAATATGAAAGTAAATACGAAATAATCAGAAATTTTTTGAAAATAATCACTAAGACAGTTAGAAATGAGAGAAATTTTATTTAATTGTTCTGCACAAGTTATTTATTACACATTAATAGACAACATTGCATTAACATGTTATTCTCCACATACCATAGGAGCCTTTACTAGAATCGCTCGTCGCTTTGACATACGTCCGATGGTTAGTTTCGGACGTGACATACAAAATGTCGTCATAGAAACTTTTGATCGTAACTGGACTACCATCGGTCTTTAGTGAATCTATGGAAAACAAGTTCCGATTTTCTTTTGAAGACAAATAGGATACTTTTGTGCCACACACAGAACCATCTTCATTTACGTGCAAAAACCTATCATAATCTTTGTTGTGAAACTCGTAATACTTGGTGCCAGCATCATTGGTCCACGACTCGATTTTCCACTTGGCCTCGTCACCTATTTCATCTTCAAAGTACCAGATGCCGATACTGTAACCGTGCCACCCTGACGTTACGTACAAGTACTCTCTGCTCCTTTCGCCGTTTCGAATCAAGCAATCTCGTCCGATCACACGTCTTGTCCAACCGCAGCTGACTATCGCGAGGCAGCTCAGGACGCAGAAAGCAAAAAAGGCCGCTTTACCCATTTCGTTTTCAACAGAGTTCAGTGCTGAAAACAAAAAATCAAAATTGAAAATAAAAAAAACTAGCTCCTAACATTCCATGCATATATTATCAGAAAATATGTGTCTTCTTTTTAGCTAAGGCTCAATAAAGGTTTGATTTTTCAAAACGATTAATAACTAAAATATTTCAAAAGCAAATCCACATACCTGCGGGGACACGTTCGTGAAGTAGGATGATCTCGAGAAGTTTTGGCCACTCTCAGAGTTGCGGATCTGCAGTGTCAGATCTGGAGTGGAAGTTAGAGCGTCTAAGAGCGTTTTTATACTCTTGTCTGGTGTGGCGAGTAGAAGGGGAAGCAATTAATATACTACGATATTTAAAAAATCTTGTTATATTCACATGCATAATTATAATTCATTACATTAAACTGTATTTTATAAACTTTAAATCAACACAGCATTTGTATCAAATTTAAACTTAAATTTTGATTCAAACTTAAAATAAAAAAATAAAAATCTGTGATCTCTTTTATTATCAGTAATCAGGATTGTTTTATTCTTAAAAAATCGTGGAAAATGAATACATAGTAATTTTTCCGGGGGCAAAAATTGTATGTTGTATGTTTTACATCCGGCCGTTTAAAATTCTTCTTCAGATGATTGCGGTTACAAGTAAGAATCTTTTATAAGTTCCAGGATTTTTGCTTATTATCAAATACTAAAAATTGTTGCCGCATTCCATTATACACTTTTTATTTAAAAAACAAAAAAAAATAGTGAATTTTATTGCAAATTTATATATATATATATATTTTCATTTCACTCATTTGGACTCGACATTTTGTAAACCTTGCAATTCAGTTGAATATGACGTGTTTTATCAGACAAGGAAAAGTTTGTCAATGGCTAGCAAAAATCCCGATTCAAATTAATGCCGCACTTTGTTACGCGATAACGCAGAACACAAAAAAATATATTAATGAAGAAAAGTGCAGACTCGTATTTAGGAATTCCCCGACACCCTATATTCAGCAGGTCAATATCTCTAACCTCTGCCCTCGCTGATAAAATACTCACGACGCTCAACAATTATTCATACACAAATGTATATTTTTTGCGACAAGAATTAATGAAAACGTTTATCCGTCTAGATCTATCAAAACACTTAAAACAAATCTTTTTAACTGGAAAAAACTACAATCTTTGAATTAAATCTAGTGCTAGTTGTATCGCACTCTTGAATCTTTCCAACTACTTTATTGTTCTTGTTTTTATCAAAGCACTTCAATCGAAGTCAACTTTAAAATTAATCTAATCAGAATTATTTTACTCTATACCTGTAGCTGCAGAGGCCGCTATTTTAATCCTTCCAATCCCGTCCCACGCACTGTTATCTAATCGGCACAGATTTTTCTTTCGTTTAAAGGCAAACGAGTATTATAATATGAAATGCAAATCTGGAACTTGCTCTTTCACTGGCATCGCTGAGACGCAGCAGCACCAACAATGGTTGAGTCACCAAATTGGAGAGAAAAACTTGGCAAAGGTAATTTTAATATAAATAAAAATTTAATTAGCCGAAACAAAATTTTAACTTCTTTAAATATTTTATTTATTGGCTATTGTTAGTTTTATTTGTTTTTATAAATTTAATAAATTTATTTTCATTTTAATATTCATATTAACATATTTATTCAAAATTATCCAAAAGCAATATTCCATGTACAAAATAATAATTTATTTAATAAAAATAAAAAATATTTTAGGTGTAAATATTCATAATGAATATAGCAGATTGCAAAGATGGGCAACTACAATAAATGAAACTTTTTATTTTAGTTAATAAAATATTGTTAAGGTAATTTTCATTTGTCACTCACTTATTAATTTATATTATGTTATGATGTTCAGTCATATCTGATTAAACTGATACAAATTACCACTTGAAAACAAAATAACGCGGGGGTCCAAAGCAATTTTTACATATCAACTCAATACTTAAATTCACCTGACCACAAAACGTGAGCCGCGCGTTATTTTTTATTAAAATATTCGATCAATCATATGAATCAAGGCCGCAAAATTATAGATTAAATCGTTATGCTAAGCTAGCTTTTGCTTTGTTTGCTCTCCAAATCTCATTTGTTCGTCTTTAATCTTTTAATCTGTTCAACCTGGAATTGATTTAAAATATTTGATGTTCATTTAAAGTATAAAATAATAATTTTCAGCATGTATCCCGCAGAGGTACATCCTCGCAATTATGGGCCTTTTGGCCATTGTGAACGCGTACACAATGAGGGTCAGTCTTTCGGTGGCCATCGTTCAAATGGTCGGCAAGGGCAACAGTTCGTCAAACGTTGACCCCAACTCTTGTCCTTACCCAGGCGACAATGGCGAAGAAGTTGTAGAGGTAAAATTTATTGTTTTATTCCAAATTAAATAATTTTAATCTTTGTTAAATTTTTCAGGGCGAGTTTGACTGGGACTCGGAGACGGTGGGAATCATCCTAAGCTCATTCTTCTGGGGCTACATTATTACGCATTTGCCAGGCGGAATCTTGGCGGAAAAATGGGGTGGAAAATACCTGCTCAGCGTCGGAATTCTCAGCACCGCTTTTTTCACCCTCCTCTCTCCGACGGCGGCCAAGTACGGCGGCTCGGGGTGGTTTATCGCCGTTAGGGTGCTCATGGGATTAGGAGAGGCGAGTCCATTCAATGAAAAGAAAACAAACACGTTCAAAGCTAACAAATTATTTTGGTGCAGGGAACAACTTTCCCGGCGCTGAACACCCTTTTAGCGCAGTGGATTCCTGTACAGGAGAGAAGCTTTTGGGGCACCATGGTGTTTGCTGGTATGAAAAAAAAATAGATTACTATTTAAAAATAATTTGAAAATTTAAAACGAGTACAAAGCGTCAGTAAGAAGTAAGAAATGGACTTTTCCATTATTAATTATTTTTATAAGTCATTACTCTAATTATTTAACTACTCTTTAAGTTTTTATTATTTTTGTATAAATATAAAAAAAATATTTTATCTTATTATTATAAATTATATTATTCATTTAAATAACTAATAATTTCTTTTTTATTGAAAATAGTCGCAATAATTATTTTTCAATTTATTTATTGGATGTTTGTCTTACTTTTGATATCAATTATTTTCAAAAATTAAAAATTTAACCTATTTTTATTTATGATATTTGTATGAATTACGAGAAAATAAATTGAAATTAAATTAAAACTTTTTTTGTATTGCAGAGAAATAGATTGAATAAAAATTAATTGTTTTCTTAATTAAATTAGGAACGCAAATCGGCACCGTAATTGGCACAGCCCTCAGCGGCGTCCTGATTGAAGCTTGGGGCTGGGAGAGCGTCTTTTACTTTTTTGGCACTTGCGCCATCATCTGGTTTATTATTTTCACCCTGATCTGCTACAGCTACCCTGAAGACCACCCGTACATTACGGCCAAGGAAAAACAGTTCCTTGCAGAAAAGCTTGGGGACACTGTCAACAGAGATGTAACAAAATTAATAACAATCTTTAAAATTGAAAAGTAAATTTATTTAATATTAAAATAGCTCCCGCCGATTCCTTGGCGCTCGATTTTAACTTCCGTGCCTTTGTGGGGCCTCGTTGCCGCCCAAATAGGTCACGACTGGGGCTTTTACACGCTGGTCACTGACCTGCCTTTGTACATGAGCGACGTTCTTCACTTCAGCATTGGCAAAGTGAGTAAATTTATTATAATATGAAGTTTTATTTATTTTCTTGCGGCAGAATTTCTCCTATCAATCTATCAAATTCTACAAATAATTGGAATTATCTAGTTCAATTTTATAATTTGTGTGAAATATTATTTATTGCGTACATTTACATGCATATTTTAAGTAGCACAATCAAAATTGGGAATTATGGTATTCAAAAAGTTTGATTTTCAACGCTTTTGAGAGTGATTTAATTTTAGATTTAATAATTATATTATTATTTTACATTTTAATTTTCATATTATACACTTAATTTGGCAATAAGAAGCATAAAAAACCACAAAAAGTGATCGCAATATTAGTTTGTTTAACTTTAATTTGCCCTGTAATTTAAATAAATTAATTAATTAATTTAATTTTTATTTATTAATAATCAATCTCCCTTTTTAGAATGGTCTCTATTCCTCGCTGCCCTACCTAGTAATGTACGTAATTTCAATGTCTTCTGGCCTGCTGGCCGACTTTTTGATGACGAGAGGCTACGTCAGCATTACGAACGTCAGAAAAATCTTCACGTCCATCGGTACGTAAATGTGACAAAATAATAGAATTTTCTACTTTTAATAAATCATGCAGCGTCCTTCTTCCCTGCGGTTGGTCTGATCGCCGCTTCCTACGCTGGCTGCGACGAAGTGGCCGTGATTGTCATCTTCACGATTTTCGTCGGACTCATGGGCACCTTCTACCCTGGCATGAAGGTGAACGCTCTCGACCTGAGTCCCAACTACGCGGGCACCCTGATGGCGATCGTCAACGGCATCGGTTCTTTGACAGGAATCATCACGCCTTATCTTGTTGGCGTTCTCACTTATGACGTAAGAATTCCAATTTAATCCAATTTTCTAAAAAAGTGGTTGAAAAAAAATCATAATTTTTAGAATGCATTAAAAAAATTAATTTTATTTTAAATGAAAACTGATTGTGTGAATTATTTAATAATTTATAATATTTTATTAATTTTCAGCACACTGCCCTGCAATGGAGGACGGTGTTCTGGATCGTGTTTGGGGTCATGAACATTACCAACATCATCTACGTGTTCACGGCTTCAGGTGAAGTCCAGCCTTGGAACTGGGGAGAGGGAGGTCGCAACCCCAAAGACGCCGATGACCAAGTCCAACATAACGAAAAAGCTGAGAAGGTCGAGAATGAGAAACGCAAAGAATCGCATTAAAAGATTGGAAACCGGAGAACATTATTTTCATTAAATTAATTTCATTAAATTGATGTTAAAAAAAATCATGTGACGCATCCAAATAAATTATAAGAGTAAATTTGGAATCTTATTGCGAAATTTCATCAACAACAGAAATATTTAGTTTTTAATTAATATTTATCAGTTAATTTTAATGAGATTAAACGAAAATGTAAAGATAATAATATTAGATTAATCAACGTTTCGCCCTAATTGTTAACATTTGGAGGAAAAATCTGAATATAAATCGAAATGTTGCTCATTATTGACTGATTGCAGTTTACTCGGGTTCTTGGAATGAAAATAGGCGTCGTGATCAATCTAAACCAATAAATGAATTGTAAAAATGTCATACCGGTTCATAAACATGATAAAACTTCATCACAAAATTTAATTAACACATTTTTACATCCAATTATTGACAATAAGTTAAATAAATTATTGTCAACAATTGAATGTAACAATTTGGACAAATAAAAAACAGCCATAAGATACAAAAAAATAATAAATATGTTTTTTATAACCATTTTTTTAATTTTGAATTTTGATATGAAATTGAATATAAATTTTTCGAAATTTTCATAGAACATTGAATCAATTAAATATCATTGGCTTCGCGGACAAATGTTCACTCGTAACAATGGTTTTCATTGTTAAAACGGTTAAAACATTGTTCCGAGTGGTTCCGAGTGGCCATTTGTTCGCGTAGCCGACTAAATAGGGGAATTACATTGTTAGAGCAGAGCACGTGGTCAATGTCCCGCGCAAAAGCGCCAAAAAATGTGGGCGTGTCAAGTCGAATGGAAACCATCTGTGAAGCAGGGACATGAGCATCTTCTTCGAAAACAATCCTCGATTCCGGTTTTAAAATTTTATGTGTGCTTGTTTTTACCGTTGTATTCGTGAGCCGAGGCATGATTTCGTGTCCAATTACAGTGCTTAACTGAAAAAACTGATGAGTTGTTGTTGAAAGACCGGAAGTTTCCGCCAATTTCGATCAAAGTGATGGCCGCGTCCATTCTCCGAAGGAAAATCCTTTTTCAGAGCGCCGCACGCTTTTACCAGCGCAGAAACTACGGCTACTATGTCTTGTAAGAATTTTCCGTAACCGAATCAAATTAAATTTTCTCACATACGAATTTCACACAGATTGCCGGAGACGAAATCCGAGCTGCCGGAAAAACACGTCTTGACCAGGGCGGATGAAACTTTTCCGTCCTTCGACAATGTCGTCGGTGACCAGTGCGTGGAATCTTTTGGAAAAATCGTCTTAGAATACGAAACTGGTTTTTGGAAACTGGAGGAAGGCTTGAAATGTATTAATTTTCACCCTAAAAATCTTAAAGTTTTAAATTACGTAATAATTTTCCATTTTCAGCCGTCGGTGAAGAAATCAAGTACGAGGATGTGGTGGACAAACTCGATGAGTTGTCCTTGCCCTTGGACGCTGCGTGGGGCGTCCTGAAGACCTTTGCCCTGGTCAACAGCAACTTCGTCAGTGCTGAAAATTATTCGCAAGTGCACGACCGAGCGAGAAATGCAAAATCCAAAAGGTTGCACAGCAAACCAATTTACGAAGCTTTTAAAGTGAGTTAAAACATTAAGTTTTTGCTCAAGTTGATCATATTTTAATCGTTTTCCCATGAAGAAAATTCAAGAGACAGGGAAATTCAACGAAGAGGAAACAAGGACTGTGAAGAAGTTTGTCCTGGAAGGGCGATTGAACGGACTCGACCTGGCTCCGAAAGAATTTCAGTACTACAGCAACATTATCAGACAAATTGGACAAGAAAGGGGCAGTTTTTTCAGCAAAACACGAGTAGGTTTTGCAGAATAATTCAATTAAAAATTATAGTTTATTCTAGATTTTGTAATCGAAATTCACCGATGAAATCCTAATTATTTTTTATTCATATAGAATTTTTGCAAAATTGTCTTCAAATTCCTTTGTTTTAGGCGGCAACTGAGGCGTTCCGTCAAATAATTGGGGATTCGAGCATGACTCGAGATTTCCCCCGAAGCCTGTTGGCCGCCACTGCACAAGACCCGTCCAAGCCAGGCCAAGGCCCTTGGACAATCACCCTGAAAAACGCGGTGGCCAACCCTTTCATGCAGTACTGCCCGATGCGCGAACTGCGGTGGAATGTGTGGCAGGCGAGTGTCCGTCGGTGTTCCAATGAGGGAGACCGAGAGCTCAACAACAGTGTCCACATCGAGCAGCTGCGGTCTCTGCGCAAGGACCAGTCCAAACTTCTTGGCTTTGATTCGTTCGCTGCCATGTCCATGGAGACTAAAATGGCTGGAAAGTTGGACACGGTCAGAGCAATGATTGCAACACTTCTACTCAAAGGTGTGAAAATATTCTTTCTATATTTTGAGGAATTTAAATCAGCAAAAAGAAATATCGACTTTTTAAAAAATGGTGAAATTAATATTGCTAATATGGTCACTGGTTTTAAATTTTAGAGATTTTATTTATTTACAAACACTTTACCAAAATTGGGATCCATTGGAGTTTAATTTCATTAAATTTGATTTAGAGTTAAAATTAACATTTTAATTCCCTTCTTTTCAATTACTTTTAACTTAAACTCAAATAAGAAGAGATTTTAAATATTAGGAATTAATTTTTTAGATCAATACATTTTAAACACTTTGAATTTTCAGCTAAACCTGCGCAAGAAGCTGAGCTTGTGAATCTGCTCCATTTTGCACAAGAGAGAGGTTTTGAAGGAGATCTAATGCCATGGGACATTTCCTACTGGAAACGAAAACAGCAGAGATCGATTTTCAAGTAAGTAGAAAATCTAAACTTTTATTTGGCAGACTTATAATTTTATTGTTTTAGAATGACTGAAGAGGAGATGCAGCTGTACTTCCCACTGGATCATGTTTTGAGTTGCATGTTCAGACTGGCGGAAAAGCTTTTCCAACTCGAAATTGTGAAAGACTCGCACGCAAGCACTTGGGACACGACCACGGAATTCTACCAAGTCAGAAACGCCGACGGCAGACTCTGTGGAGGATTTTATTTTGATCCATATCTTAGGTAATAGTTTTAAAAATTTACCAAATTATTTTTATTAAAAAGTTTTAAAAATAGGCCGGAAACTAAAGCCAAATCGTCGATTGGTTGGATGCTGAATGTTCGGAGTCGGAACTTGGCCGTGGCCGATGGAGGTCTTCCCTTGGCAGCCCTAGTTTTCAACTTCCAGCCCCCCAACATAGAATCCGATACTCCAACTTGTCTCACCTACCCAGAAATCAAAGAACTCTTTTCCAAAGTAAACATTAGTTAACAATACATCATATAATAAAATAATTAATTTGATTCAGTTCGGCCACATGTTGCAACACGTACTGGCTTCGGCGAATTGTTCCGAGGTTGCTGGACTGACAAATTTGGAGTGGGACGCTGTCAACATTAGCAGTGAGCTCATGGCCCTGTGGTAAGCTAAAAAAAAATTGATAATTATTTAATTTTTGGAAAGAAGTTTACGTGAAATAAATTTTGATACTTATAAGATTCATGGTGATTTGAATTTAAAATCAGCTTTTCCTCAATGGTTTTTGTGAGTTGTTTGTTGTTTCAGAAAAACAATGTCCTGCTTTATACTTGTTTTCTTTAGCAATCAACTCGCAAGGAAAAGTCAATTTTAAATTCAAATCACCATGAATCAACCATTGATCGTGAAATTCACCACAAAATCAAATAGATTCTTTGTATTTTGTTTGCTATTTATTATGTTCAGAATTTTTATACCATTTATCAATATTTAAATTTTTTCAATTTTTCATGAAACTAACCTTGAGTGTTACCATGCAATTTAATTTTATTACTCTTCTTAGGCAATTTTATCTTCAATAAAGATATAAATTTAAATTTAATTTTGACCTTTTTATTCCAGGTTGACAGACCCGAATTTCTTGCAATCACTCAGTCACCACCACGTAACTGGAGAGCAACTTTCTGAGGACACAATCCTGTCTCTGTCAAAATCAAACCGCATTTTGGCTGGTCACGAGCTATGCAGGGAACTTTATCTCTCCACACTGGACATGGATTTGCATTCTTCGTAAGAAAGATTTCCTCAACTTTTAGTTGCAATAATTCATTTTCACTTCCGCAGAGAGGACTTTTGGCTGGACATTGTCAAAAGAATCTACCCCCAGTACATGCCGTTCCAACTGGACAAACGAGACGCCCATCCTTGCTCATTCACTCCCATTTTCTCTGGAGACTGGGCAGCGGCTTATTACTCAGGGGTGTGGGGCCGAATGGTCGCCGCTGATGCCTACACGGCTTTCAAAGATTCCTCAGAAGATGTTGAAGAAGTTGGAAAAAGGTATAAAATCTTATTCTTCATCAATAAAAAAATTGCCAAAATAATTAAATTATAAATGGAGGAGACTAATTTGATAAGTAGAAAATTCCTCTCTGTTTGAAAGTTTCACATTGGGTTTTTAATTATTTGAATTGTTTAGTTTTATTTCAAAGAATTTATTTTAATTTTCAACTTTGGTATTTTAGGTTTAGACAAAGCATTCTTGAACCTGGTGGTGCCGTTCAGCCTGCAGTTGCCTTTAGAAGGTTCCGAGGCCGTGATCCGTCGCCGAATGCCCTTCTCAACAGCTTGGGCTTGAAAGTGGCGAAACCGGTGGTGAAACCAACACAAAATGTTGTAGATAAGTAAAATGTAATTATATATATATGAAACTGAAAAAAATATGTTTTTCTAACTGGACCTGATTTTTTTTTTTTAATATCGGTTCTTTTCTCCCCATGCAATCTCAAATGAGTTTGGAATCATTTTAATAACAAGAAAATGGGGGGTCGCCTTATAATTTTTTTCTTTAGAGAAATGCATTTGAAATTAAATGGCTTGCTTAAAATTTTTACTAAAAACAATTGATTGCATGTTAAGTCAACAAAACTTCCTTTGGCAAAGGGTGTTTGACCCCCGCCAACATGTTTATTGATAACCCTGCTACAGATTTGGCTCCAGAAAATTGAGGGTCTCCGCTTAAATTTGTGAAAAAAGTTTAAAAAACGTGTTAGTATTTTTTCTCGTTTTTTGAGCCAATTTTAATTATATCTGTAGACAACTTCATGAATCATGACAGTTCATGACTGTTTCGTTTTCTACAAATTTTTTCATATTTTTCAAAATCTAAAAGAGTTACTGGAGATACGTAAGGGTTTACTAAACTGCCAAAATAATTTGGATGAAGATTTTTTTTTTAATTTTCTCAGTTTGAGCTAATGAACCAAGTTATCCTTTCTTAATGGTCAAAGGTCATCAACCCTGGCCAAAGGTCAAAATATAACATTGTATGCCCCTTTAAAATAGGCAGCCTGAAAAATCCTAGATAGCCAAAAGATGCGTCATGTCATTTTGCACCAGGATTCTAAATTTTCAAATTTTTTTTTGCTTCAAAATATTATTTGATTTTTAAATAGCGTCGGAACGACTGAAATTTTTCTGTTTGGCTGAGAGTGTGTTAAAAATTAAAAAACGAGTCTTTTTCATCATATCTGATACAAATTGAGCAGGTTTTATTGTATATATTTTATTTCCATTAAAATTTAAAGGATTAAAAAAAAATGTGATATGAGGTTTAATCTACTTTAATTAAACCGCCTTTCGGCAACAAATAATGACGGCCGAGTACAAAGAGCTGCGGCGGAACAGACAGTTCTATGCTGCATATTATTAAAAAGAACTGAATTAATTTTGCCGACGACGACAGCAAACCCACGCAGCAGCATCTTGCGAGAGATAAATATCAAAGGCTCGCTGCGGATAATTTCCATGCACACAAAACACAAAGACTCTTTTGCGTGCGCTGCCGCTTTACATCTTGCCATAAATTTATATTTTCACGTACAGAGAGAAAGAGAGCGCGCATTTAATGCGAAAAAAAAGCAGGAGTTGACGTTTGGAAAGGGGATTTGGGTTGACAACTCGGCTGCGGTTGCACCTTTGCGGCACCAATATCAGATTACCGCGCGGCCTCTGCAGAACCACTCGGCTCGGCTGCTGGCGAGCTTATCAGCGAATAAAATGAGACAGGAACACGGCCCATTACTAGTTGCGTGATTGTTTCCCCATTTGGAATGCCGGTCAGCCGGTTGGTCACCGCCAGAGTTGTTTTCTCGCTCGCACAAAATAAATAAAAATACACACGCCGTCTTGCAGGGGGAAAAAACGCCACTCGCACGCCGTGTCACACACAAGGTGTTTTTGTTTGACGCGGCGTTTTTTTTTTTATATTATATAGAAAGCGAAATTAGTTTTCCTAAACTATACTGCGAGATTTTCCGATACGGTCTGCTGTCGCACCAATGTTTGATATGGAAAAATATGTTATTAAAATGCCATAAACGATTCGCGTGCTCCTTAGCAAAATATTACAAAACGTCTCTGATGTATTTACTCTTTTAAATGATGGAGTTTTTAATTATATGGCAATGAAGTGTTTTGAAGAAATCTGTGGCTTCAACAAATTTTGAAAGAAAACAATTGGGTGTTTTTATTTAAATTATTTGTTTTAATATGCAAGAATACGAAAATTCCCAATATTAAAAAAACTTTTTAAATGAATTTCAGTAAAATATAAAATGGTAAAATTATTCATATTTGAACTTTTCAAAACTTTTCGCAACTAATTTTTTTACTCCAAAAAGCAGCTAATTTTTTGTAACCAATTTCCATAAATAAATTTACTATAAATAAAACAAAACTTCAATATATTTTGACTTAATTTTTTAATTATTATTTTTAACTCTTTTTTTCTAATTTTAAAATTATATTTTACTTCAAGAATATTATTATTTTTTGGACCATTTTTATTCAACGTTAATTTTCTTATTTTTCTAAATTATTAAAAATGAATTTAATTGATATTTTGTACAAGTTTAAAATATATTTAATAAAATATTTTTTTATATAAATATGAGAGAACAAATACTAATTCCAATTGAACCGTGAATATTTAATTCATTTAAAGTGTTATGTTTTTCTACATTCTATATCTATCTTTACTATTCGTAAAGAGCATTAAAAGTTGATAAAAAACCACCCTTTCTTTTTTTGGCTAAGTAAACAATTTAAGTTATTTTTGCTTCCAACTACATTAAAATTAAGCGAAAATAATGCGCCCAAATTACTCCTTTAACACGGCTCTCTGTCAAGTAGAACGACATGCTCGCGAAACAAGAAGCATCATTAGAGCGTTGATGAGCCCATCTCTCTCTTGAATGCGTCGGTCGGAGTGAAGTGGTGGCGGAGGGGCTGTTGGTGGGTAGGCAACCCGGCAGCCGTCGGTGCCAAGCACGTTGCCTATCCTACGCTTCTCTTTGTTTGACTTTTGCGTCCACAGTTTTAGAATTTTACAGAGACGTGCGTGTTGCATAATCCGCTGCACCTCCGTCGTGTGTGCCGAGGCTAATCCTCCCGATTTTATACATTCAGTCCACACAGCAGGGCCGCCGGCAGGGAATTTTATTTTTTCTTTCTCTCTTTCGGTCGAGACTACGCCTGTGCGTTTCGTGACCTTTAATCCCGATCCATTAATGAATTGGGCCAATCGATTCTCCATAGCTCCGACTAATTTCGTACACGAAAACAAACTGCTGCTCCGCCCGCCGAGTGTGAGAAAGAAGAGAAAATACGTATTATTCATCTTGCTCGGCGCTGTCAAAATGAAAAATCGTTCCGTCTCTCGTTGTGCACGCATTTTCCAGGTAAAGAAGTTTGTTAATTTATTTAACATATCGGACTGAAAAGTGAAATCTGCCGGTCAAATTGAAAACCGACGAGAATGAAAAATGGTGCGACGAGAGTAGCGCTTCGCATTTTTTTTTTTATAGATGATCTGCTTGTTTACGGAGAAAGAGTTTCCTTTTTCGAAAAGGTTGGCGGCGGCGGGCATTGACAAACTGGCGTATAACATGAAAGATGAATGCGTTGCTGACGTAAACGAGGTGAGTGGATTTTGACGAGAACTAGAGCGAGAGGAAATTTATAGAGAAATTATTTTTCGTCGGCGTGGGTTGTTTTTCTCACCGGATTATTTTACTTTGGCAATTTTAAAAATATTTCACTTCACAGAAACATAAATATCCTTAATTTCTTTCCCAAAATAGAATTTGATTGAGTAAAAAAGCGTTTTATTTATACTTAGGGCTTTATGAACTAAAATTTGAAGGTCTTCACTTCATCTTTTGGGAGACAACCTTTTTCATTTGGGATAATTATTAATGTTTTCGATATAAATTATATTTTTGTTCAAAACTTTTGAATTTTTATCCTGTTTGAGTCTACATAGAAATACAAGTTTCATTTTTATTAAAACGCATTCATGTACTTTTTTTATTGTAAAAAATTAGCTTTTCAGAGATTATTTCCTTAATAAACGCGACAATCTCCCACATTAAATTTGAAATTGAGATGACTGGTGAAGAATTTTGATACAAACTCGATTGGAGTATGGTTATCTCGTGCGAGAAAACTTCTTCAATACAAAAAAATCCCACGATTTTACACGGTTTTAAAGTAGACGGGAGAAAATGTGCTTCGTGTCTGCAGCGGGGATTAATATAAAATAATGCAGCAGGCAACTCCATTATATAAAAGCAGCGGAGTCACACACACACACTCTTTTTGACGGACAGCTCCTTAAAAAGCATTTTTGGTGTACGAAAAGAAGCTAGGCAGGAATAATGCGATAAAAGCATAATATATAAAAAATGATGGATCTGCCGGCCGGTTGTCTGCAGATGGTGGTGTCCCCTACATTATACCTTGCTTGGAATCGAACACATGATGATTTTTTTTCTCTCTCTCATTCTCAACCTACGCGGCTGGTCGGGCCGGTCGGGCGACTCGCGCAGCCGAGAGCAAAAGGGACTGGTTCGTTCGTTCGTCTGTGCGCTGCAAGAAGTGCCGTTTAACCTCTGGGGTCAGGCGTAATATGTTCAAATCATGACACCACCCAGTGAATATTAGCATTCAACAATCAGCCGCCCTTGAACGAACCAAAATCATCCATTCGCCGACCTCGCGCCGTGAATTTTATTTTTTCAAAAGAGCTCTCTGCGGGCAGCTTTTGTATGCTGCATGCGTTACTTTTCCTCATATCATGATCGATTGGCCAAAACTAATTAGCAATGCTTGCTCTTTTATAAGTAATGATATGCGGCAACTTTCCACCGAACACTTTTGTTGCTCCGAATAATTTATTTGGTGATGATTCATATGCGATGCTGAGAGAGAAAAACCGCGCCAGCCGGATTTGCCCGCCGCAGCTTTTGAGAGGCAAAGCAGATTATTCGCTTTTATTATCATAATGCCCTGCTTTTTTTTTGCGAATACTAAAAGGCTCCATTAGCGCGCTTTAATGAATTAAAATGTGGCTCTCTTTGAATTCATATCAATTTGTTTGCGTCAAAGCTTTGCTCGCCGCCTAATTTATCAAAGTGCGATTTCGCGCCGACCGCCGTATATATATGCGAATTTTTAATTTTAATTTGATGAGATGATTTGTTATGCAATATAAATTTTTATGTATAATTTTAAACGCTACTCTTCTCCCCTTTGTTGTTAATTATACCGCATGGCGCATTGTGCTGCTCGCATTAAATTCCACACACACACCGACGTTTTATTATTGAAGTCGAAAAATAACAAACACGCGGTGCTCACTCAAAAGCAC